TTTCTTACTTTTATTTACGAATTTTATGGTTGATTTGGTTTGTGGCCTAAATAGGCCTTACCAAATTTTGTCAATGCTAAATTTTGGCATGACTAATTTTGATAAGGTAAAGTCGTGTTTGGATTAAAGCCCAAATAGCCTAAGTTCACTATTAAAATGGCCTATTTTCTTAGACATGCCAAAATTTGGCTTCAAACCAAATAGACACTAAACACTATTGAAATTACCAAATATTGGTAAGCCTAATTTAGGCCTTAAACTAAACCAGCCCTTAGTTTGTTTCTAAATTATAGTTACACTAGCAAGATACCCTACGTTGCAACGGGTGATATATAAATAACAGATCATTATCAACCACAAATGACCAAAAAATGGTTGAATCTCAAGATTCTATAGGAAAGATCAAAACACGTACGTTGATAAACAATAGAACATTCCAACCATATCGTATTTCTGCTAAATTATTTTTCTTTAAAATGGTTACTGCCATTTTTTTGGAAAATGGTTATTACTTAGGAATCCTCAGGACGTATATATGGTTGGTACATGGCAACTATGAGCTCTTTACGACAGCTTAAAGAGTGGGGAGACCTTCACCACTCCCTGAAAAGAGCATCCTTGTATAACATGTTTTCTTTTGGGTTCAGGTAACGCATGAAAGTACGGAAGCACTCCGTGTTTTTTTAAAATAGTAGAAAAAAATAAACGTGCGTTGCAACGGATTAAGATTATTTTAATCTTATTATTATTATACGGTTTAGTTAAGGTGAAATTCACTATAAGAATTTGCTTGAATATATATTTTTCTATAAAATTATGAGTTGTAGTTAGAAGTCCGATCATCTCAAATTAGCATGCGGGTTTTTTTAAGAGATTTATTATACGACTCCTTTTGTATTTACATAAGCGAATGGACTTAAAATCCGACTCAAATACGGATCTGTATTTCTAAAAACAAACGAGCTTAAAAACCGGCTCATACAAGGGACACTATAGAGCGGCTGTTTTTGAGTGGTGCAATTTGCCCAGTGACGCTTGGCCGTATGACCGTCGCCATGCCATGCCATGCCAGCTTCTTCTCTTTCCCTTTGCGCCTTCCACTTCAAAACCTACCTTAGCCTTTTATCCTTTTTTTTTCTATCTTCCCCTTCCCCTACTTTTGTACTCTTTGTTTAAGCTTTAACTAAATTTATGATTTTTTTTCTTTTGAAAAAAAGCTCCTCAAGCTCGGCTGGCCTACTGTCCTACTACTCCGTCCCAAAAAGAATCCAATTCTAACAACGAATCTAAACACATATTTTGATATCAATGCTAGGATTTATTTTTTTACAGAGGGGTAAAGCACACACTATACATAATATAGCCTAAGCCCCATAGAAATATAGCCCAACCACCTCAGTCTAATATAATATGAGGGCTACCCTTACTACCACCAGTCCCATCCAACACAAAATAATAAAAAAACATCTTCTCCCATTTTGATATCAAAGACTAAAAAGCATCACTCATGAGGACAGGAAGGAGGATGAGCTGAGGCGGTGAGCAGAAGCTGATTTCAAGGATTTGTAGTTGTAAGATGTGGTAGATGATTCAATTTGTTTTTCAATGTCAAATGATTTGAGACAACAGAGAGTAACTTGAAGTATGTATCGGCTCGATTTTCCCTCGCATGCGCCTCAAATGTGCCGGTTGTAGAACCAACACCAATGCTTGGGTCACCTATGCCATATCTATGGTGCCGTTTCGAAAATCCAGCACTAATGTGCTGTTCCCAACCAACACCTATTAGCATTTTGTAATGGTGGATATCAAATAGCACTCAAGACAGACGTAAAAGAAAAGGAAAGATTATTTCCTGCACGTTAAATTGTTTTCAGGGTTCTCCCATTAAGCAGGGAGTGTACAGAAAAGATTCATATATAGGCATAGTTGTTTGCTCTACTGTGACTAATCTACCTAAGTCTCGAACCTTTGAGCTATTGAGATGATAGGCCACCGCTCTGCTAGATGATACATGTAAGAAAACAACATCTCTGTAAGGGTGAAATCCAAAGAAATAAAAGAGTTCCTGGCATTGCATATTGTAAAGCTTATCCACTTTGTAAAGTTCATCTTCCCCATATTTGTTGTTACATTCACTATGGCATTCGCCATCTTCATCAGAAGCCCATCCATATTCTTCTGCATCGTAGTAGTTGCTATCTGTGTCAAAGTGCCTTCCGAATTCGTCTTCTTCCGCTTGATAGTCATTCTCAGGATAGGTGTCTACCTGTAAGTCTGTTTGAAGTATCTGTTCTTCAAATAAGTTGCCATCATAATATTTCCAATGTCCATTGGTTTGTTTACAGGATTTGCACTGTGCTAGATGTTCACGAGATTTTAATTGTGCTAGCAGAGACCATAGATGTGTTTGATGCTTCAATTCCCAGTTCATTTGACCGCATGATTCATTAAGAAACCAAACACAAAGTTGGTAGTCATCATGAGCAAATGCACACACTCCGTCTTTTGACTTGCCAAGTTGGAGAAAAGAACCTTTGCCCATGGCCTCCAAACCTATCGGCGACTTAATTACTTGGTATTTACCATCCGATAAGGATATCCTGTAAAAAGAATCATCAAGTGATATATAATTAAAACGACACGTTAAGAGATCATATATATATATATATTATAGGAGTACATATACAGTTGTACTCAAATTAAGTAATACTAATATTATATATCAGATATAATTTGGATATATAGTTGGGTAGTAGTACCTTGTAACGAAATCTGTTTCGCATGGCACGTAAAGCGCTCCCCGCCATAAGGCGGATCTTTGATGACAATTAAACCCCCGCGCGAGCAGATTGGCGACGGTCCCAGCAGCTTCGCCCTCTCGCACATACGACCTCTTCTCCCATTGTAGTGTCTTGGATGAGAAGACATCGATGATAAACGGTGACGGCGGCCAGTCGCTCATGCCGTCACCGAAAGGAGATGGGATCTTATACACCTCGTAGTGCGCCGACACGGTAGGATCAAAGACGAGATAATCGAACACGTCGTTGCACGAGCAGCCGGGCGGGGGAGGTGGGCTCCGAGGCAGGCGCGCCCACCGCCCCGTGGCCGGGTTGACGACGACGTTGTGGGCGAGGAGGAGGCCGTTGCGGCAATCCAACATCGTCTCGGGTAGGCGCGTGAGGTCGAGCGCGTGGGGCAGCACGGGGCGGGCGAAGAACTGAGGGACCCAGATGACGCCGATGAAGATGCCGGCCAGCTTCAGGGGGAGGAGGTCCGCGCGCAGCACGCGGCGGTCGTCGACGAGCGCGCGCAGCGCACTGCAGACGCACCGGCACGCCGCCAGGCTGCGTGGCGGCAGGCGGCGGAGGACTTCCTCCAGCACGTCTCCCGGTAGCGCCTCCAGGTCCATCGGATCCGATCCTTAATTCCCTAGTAGCTGCTTCCGCTTGCTTTCTGATGGAGCAGAGCACGAAAGACGAGCAGAGCTTTTCAAATAAAGCGCCAAGGTCGAGCCGAGCGGTATACGGGGACGGACTCCAAGGGCCTATCGGACTCGGAGTTGTAGGAGCCAGTTAGTACACGCATATATGTCGGAGTACGGATTTTCTATACGCGTGTGCTGGTAATGAATACTCCCTCCGATTCTTCCCTATTAATTGACGTTTTAGACAAGGTTGAAAATTTGACCATCAATAACTTTAAAAATATTTAGTTTAAAGGAACTAGAACAACATATATAGATTTAACTTTTAAAGCACTATAACAAAAATAGAGTAAAGTGTACGGGCGGTCCTTAAACTTATAGGGATATGTCATCTAGGTCCCTAAACTCTCAAAATGCATATCCAAGTCCCAGAACTTGTCATAGTGTGTCATCTAGGTCCCAAATCGCCACAACCGTTTCAAGATCCTACGTGGAGTTGATGTGGCATGCCACACGGATATGACATGGCATCATTTTGACTGACACATGGGACCCATTTAAACTTTTTCCATTTTCTTTTTTCCTTCTCTTTTTTCCCTTTCTTCTCCTTTCACTGTAACCCAAGCAGAAGAATGGAAAAAAAAGAATGAGAAGAAAAAAAAGAAACGAAGAAAAAAAAAAGGACACGTCACGTAGGATCCTAGAGGGAATGTGTCGATTTGGGACCTAGATGATACACTTTGACAAGTTCTAGGACCTGTATATGTATTTTGAGAGTTTAGGGACCTATATGACACAACCCTACAAGTTTAAGGACCGCCAATACACTTTGCATACATTTTATTTATTATATATATTATAATAAAAAAATGAGGTCAAAGATATATTTTGTAGACCGTGTCATTATCCAAAACATTAATTAAAATGAAACCGGAGGGAGTACTCTCTCATCGAATCTAGAACTAGATATGAAATATTCTAATACAATGAAACTGGATAGATGTATGTCCATATTCGTAGTGCTAGGATGTGTCACATCCAGTACTAAGTTGGTTTTTTATGGGACAGGGGAAGGACACGCTCTGCATCAAGATTTGTACACCTGCAATGAATACACCATACACCTGCCAAGTTTTTTTAAAAAAAAATACACAATCATTTAATAGTTTGAAAAGCGTGCTAACGGTTTAAGGCCCTGTTTAGATACCACCATAAAATTTTTCACCATGTGACGTGGCTAGACTAATTCTAGGTGACATGGCTGACTGTGAGGGCAGAGAATTAGCATTGATGGTAATTAGTAACTGACTTTATAGGTATACTAGGTGACACCCCACACTTTGCTGCGGGAACTACTACTATTTTTTAGTGTGAAACTCTATGTGAACAATCAAGCAAGAAAAAAAATTGATTACTGAAAACAATGTAAGATCATATAACATATTTGCCAAATCAGGTTTTTAGTGGACAGAAATAAATTTGATAGACAATGTAGGATATTACAGATAAAAAGATTAGGTTAATTGGCAAAGATTTGAGGTCCACGAAGTAGAAGGCAGCAAAAAAAAACTGATAAAAAGCCATGTGTATTATTACTAATGAATAAAGGAACAAAAAACTTTGGGTTGCATTCTCTTTGACAGGTATCCAAGGAAGAAAAAAGAAATTACACAAAATTAGTTTATTTGTCTTAACAATAAGACCACTGTAGATATGATGCCATTTTATTCATGTGTTAAAAAGGGGGAGATGAGATAATCTAGATAGCTCTTGTCCAGTTAACTGTGAGAACATGGTTTAAAGCATCTATCTCTGTACCTCATGAGAAGGTGGGAAACTGGGAATCAACAAGCATTCTTAGACATTGGTGAAAATGTTGATGAGAAAATGGAGCAGATGAAAAACCATACTTACTGACTCGGTTATTTTGAGAATATATATCAAATTATATTAGGTTCTAGTAAAATAAATTTTAACTAAAATGGTTCAATTTGGAGTTTTGGACAGGAAATCAGTAGGGACAACAAACTTGCATGTTTCTTCTTCATGCCGATAAACTTTACTTGTCAAGCTTAGGGATTAGGCGAACACATAGATGCATGCTTAGTACATTATTCAATAATCGACCAACAGCATGCCACTCAAGAACATATATAGTGTAAATACTTCGGCTTACGCCAATCCAGTAAAAAAATAGTAAATAACGATACACCAATAAACAGACATGAGAGAACAACATATATAATGTTGGAAGCATATACATGATACATACCGTAAATATTGGAAAAATCCCTAGGATGCTCTAGTGGAAAACATTGGATAAGTTCATACGCCTGTGGAGAAATGAGCACAAAATCCAACAAATTTGATGATCCAATATGCGAGCAACCACAACTGGCACGGTACCTAAAAAGATGGAACCATGCATTTAAGCATTTTACTGAACGAACTCGAAAGTAACAACAATGACCATCTAAACATATGTAGGTGCATTTATCCATGTAGGCATTTTATCGAACAAATGGTATGCATGATTAGCCAGTGTGCATAGATGTGCAGAACGGAAGGGCAGGGTGAGGGCTTGACTAACAAAAAATGCCAATGGGGATTGCCACTCAGTTTGGCAGCATTGGAGCCAAATACGCAGGAACAGTAACTCGGGAAGAAGGAGGAGCTCCTGGTCAATGGTTTCCAAGTGAGACTGAAAAAACAAAAAACCATGAGTAATCCATCAAGCATCAGAGTTGATATATATAGGGGAGGCATTTGGTTCTAAGCTCTCGAACTGGCACTGCCACTTCACATTGGAGAATATGAAAGAAGCTTACAAAGGAAATTAATGGGGTTGATTACGACGCCTGATATTCTAATTGCTGGCGTAACAGTTTCTTTTTGTTGATTTTTTGCGTTAAAGAGGAAAACGAACAGGCAAGGAAGGCGGAAGGGCCAATCGAAGGGGAGGGATGCGGCAATTCGACTTGCGCTTGTTGGGAGCGTGCGGGGTCGATAGGGCCGTGATGCAGAGGAATGATTAACTGGGCTATAATATGGCCCATTTGCATGAGCCACGGTTGAATTCAGAACCATTTCATCCAACGGTTCATAAAACACACAGATATCAATCTAACGGCCTAGCTGAAGTGACGACGTGGTGAACTGTGGTTTAAGCTTTATAACAATTATGGTTTTAGTGTGTAGCAACTATATAGAAAAAAGGATAGGATAAGTGCTAACCCACGGGTTGCCGTATTATTGCTGGGTTACCATATCGAGTCAACCCATAAACTCATTTATCTATTATATAAAACACTCGCTCCCAAGCCTCTACATAGCTCCTTTTATTAAAACTGGTGGACCCAATATTTTTAACCATCAAATTATTAATTTTCACCATTAAATTTATCTCCAACAAAACTAATCTGTTCGTTCCCTCATCTTGGCATGTTTATAGGAAACGTACTGCGGCGCACCTATGTACGTATTTCCTCCCCCATCCGACTCTCCCTTCTGTCCCTTTCCTATTTTCTAGCTAGCAATCAAATTATTAATTTTCACCATTAGATTAATCTTGAGAGAATAAAATATGTACGTTCATCTCATCCTGACATGTTTACTAATTAAAAAAATCTATCTATTATATACTAAAAGTCCATTAAACTTCCTTTTTTTTATCATATTATAATATTAATTAATATATCCGTCAATCTCTACTATTATGAAAATTGAAGATATTTTTGCCGGTAATTTGAAATGTCATCCGTGTATGAGTCTGTTTTTAAGTTTGCTCGATTTTGAAATACATATCCGTATTTGAATCGGTTTTTAAGTTCGCTCGCTTTTAGAAATATAAAAGGAGTCGTATAAGAAATCTTTTTGAAAAAACTCGCATGCTAACTTGAGACGATCGGACTCCTAATTGCAGCTCATGATTTTCTAAAAAAATATATATCCAAGCAAATTACCACAGCGAATTTCATCTTAATTAAACCGTATAACAATAATAAGAAATAACCTTCATCCGTTGCAACGCACGGGTATTTTTTTTAGTAATTAAATAATTACATAATATTCCACAAATACTAATGCCTGTGTAATTATGTTTACCTATCAATCGTATTCCTGCTAGGCTACATGTAGTCTCGCATACATTGCAAGTAACATTTCTTTGGTGTGATGTCTTCCACACTATGGAATCAAATTGGACTATAGAAGGTTTTTCATTTAGAGTACGTGCAGTGTCACAATCACCCAAGCCAACTATTAATAAAAGATAATAAAATCTAATACTTTGAAGAAAAAAAAGAACATGTGCATCCATGCTAAAAAAAAATTTAACTGTGAAAACATCCAACCAATTTTTCTATGTATCAAAGAAACTACCAAGGTATATCAAAATTAGCAAACAATGATATAAATATATTTATGTGTATTATTTCACATGGGTTCTTTCAATAATCTATGTACAATGATAATTCTAAGCCACTTATTTATTTTTTTTAATTGTTTGAACAATTATGTTCATTGCACTACTATATAAATTATTTTCTCAAGCTCCACGCATTATTTTACACGTACAACCGGAATGTGCAGCTGTCTGTAATGAAGCCGCGGCTGCCTCAACCCATTTGTTGCTTTTTAAAATAACTTTTCTAGGCTTTTACTACTATAACTATTTACCGGAGCTTTAACCCAAAAAGCTAACATTGAATCAATTTACTCTCTTAGCAACAAAGCTGATTTGACATCCTGATAATATATTTCTTTTTTTTCTTGACTAGCAAAAATGCCCGTGCGTTGCAATGGGTAAAAAAATTCTAATGATAATATACGTTTTTCATGTATAATCATGTCAATGACAATGTTTCTATTTTAATGAGCGGCTTGTTTTTTTATAAACAGTGTTTTTTTTCTCACACCATTTTTCAGAAATGGCACATTTCTTTCTAATAGTTTTTTCCTACCATGTTTTTTTTTGCTTTTTTTACTTATGAAGAAAACCATATTTTTCTCTCTTTTTTTGCTTTTCTTTTCTCGTGTGTTTTTTTTTCTTGTTTTCTCGCACGTTTTTTTGCTTGTTTTTTTTGAAAGTTCTTTTTTGCTTTTTTCCAATACAGGAGAATATATAACAAAATAAAGCCATGTAGTAGATGGCAAAAAATCGATAGATCCTATCCGACTCAAGCGTCCATCAATTTAGCTTTTTTCTGACAGTTTTTTTAGAGCGATTTTTTTAATAGACGGTGTTTTTTTCTTGCACGGTTTTTTAAAACCATTTTTTTTAGAAATGGCGTGTATTTTCGATAGTTTTTTCCTCGTATGTTTTTTTTAAAATATTTTACCGACAATGGAAATAATTTTTCTCGCGTGTCTTTTTATTTTTTTTATTGATGATGGAGAACCTTTTTAGCGTGTTTTTTGTGCTTTTTTTTCTGACTTTTGCCTCACACGTTATTTTAACTGTTTTTATTTTCTCATGCATTTTCTCTTTTTAAATAGTTAGATTAGAGATAGAGAAGAGATATATACCGGTTAGAAATCAGATTTTGTTTCGCCCTTTCCATTTTTTTCTCTCTTGCATTTTTTATTTTATATGAACCAGCTTTTTATTTTTTACGAACCATTTTTTCACCATTTTCTTAGGGAATCGAATGAACTTTTTTAGATGTTTTTTGCCTTTATAGGAATCAGACTTTTTTTTGTTTTTAAAGGATTCGGATCTAGCGTTTTTTTTTTGTCACCACTTTTTTTTTCCTTTTATATGAATCAGATTTTTTTTCGGTCGGATCTACAGTTTTTTTCGCCACTCAGGGAAAAAACATTTGTTGTTGTTGTTTTTCTTTATTTTCTTTTTTTTTGTACGGCTTTTCTTTTTCCTTTTATGCACCTTTCTGTCTTTGTTCTCTTTCTCTTTTATTATTTTTTTAATAAAAACGACCTCAAGTAGCTTGTTGCAAGATTATAGGGACTCAAATGTAAATATAAAAAATACAGGGACTCAAATATAAAAGTACAAATCCAAAAATTAAAATCATATAAAAATGGAATGCTCTCGACATGTAGATTCTGTTTTTGCAAACAGATCTTCAATCCGGCACATCAATTTTTTTCACCAATCTGAGTCAGACTTTTTTTTTTGTTTGTAACAGCGAATCTGATATAGGAGTCGGACTTTTTTTTTCACTGTTACGGATATAGGAGTCGGACCTTTTTTTTGGTTTTTTTATCGGACAAACCTGGTTTTTTCCATCCGGTTTATTTTGTTTTTTCGCCCTTTTTTCTGGATTGGACTCCGTCCGTTTTTTTTGGGTTTTTTTCGCTTCTTTTTTTTTTTGATCGGACTTTTTTTTCCGTTCCGGTTTTTTTATCGGACAAACCTGGTTTTTTCTGCCTGGTTTTTTTTCACCTGGTTTTTTGACTTACAATGGAAGCACCTCTTATTTTTTTTTAAGTAGTAGAGATTTTTATGTTTCTCTTCGTACAAGTCATATTTTTTCTTTGATAAATGCTGAGACGAAAGGCAATGATAAATCCATGAAGTCACTAAGCTCATATCCTTTATAGTAGCTTATGGGTTTCTCCACATTTGAGATGTACACGTCACTCAAAATAGTTTAAAAGCTATATTTGTTCCTGTTAAATTTACATTTTAAGACCCACATTGACTATATTTTTCTCTTAAAAATACTATATGAGTCCCATGTATCATAGATTATGTCCAAGATATGTATATTTCTTCCAATTTTACTAATTCACATGCAAGAATATAACAAATTGCATGCACATAAACCAATTAAAGCAAAAACTGGATGCAACAAATAAAGTTTCACGAGGTTTCTTAAGTAAAAAATAGACAATGTCCATTCAATTAAAAAAGGTGAACATCGTGCTTTTAATTTGAACTTTGTTAAGCCTGTTTTTTAAACAAACTAATACACATACCTGCGCGAATGCGCGGGCTAACTTTCTAGTTGATTAAATTAGTCGATAACCTATGGATTACGAAATAATTTTACCTATAAGTGAATTCGTGGGTCGGTCCGCTTGCATTGCAGCTAAGCTCTGCTTCCTCTGCCAATGAACAGTAAAAACTTACCAAGATGACAGTTAGACTGACCCAACACTATCTCGAATGACCACTCCAGCACTGGCGAAACCAGAGTTTTCAAGAAAACTCCCGTCCACGTTCACCTTCAGACTTCAGAGACAACAAACAAGTACTCCTATCAGAGTGATGGCTGCTAAAGATGGCAATATTACATACGGAGTAGCTGTCAGCGGACAAGCACTCTTGATTTCTCAGAGCTTTCACAGTACGCTTACCTGTTGTTCAGCCCCAACATTCCACGTAACCCGTTACCAAGTGAGGACCGTGGAGCTAAACTAAGCCACCAGTTTCTCGTGAATCGTGAGAATTGTCAAGCTTTCATCAGGGCCGACCCGCACCCCCACGACGCTTGGGAAGGGAGAGGAAGAAAGAAGATAGAGGAAAGGAGCTTATCGTCGGTCGGGGAGGGGGCAGTGGCTGTGGGCTTGTCGCCGTTCCCCGCTTGTCCAGACAGCTCGACGACCGCCGGCTTGATCTAGAGGTTGCTGGCGGCCTAATCTGTTGCATGCGCGAGCCCTCATCTCGAGCTGCACTTGCTACTACCGCTACCGCGCTCGCATCCAGCTTAAAATAATCTGCATTATATTGTGGAGCATTGTTCTTGGGTGTTCTTCTGCTTATGTGGCTGGTGAGGCTCCTCAAATTTTCGCGTGGCACTGCCCTCATACTACCATTCCAAATGGATTCCACATGAACAGGTGAAGCTCATAGTGTTCCTGGCCGTTTTCTAGCGAAGCAACGCACATGTTCACCATCCGATAGTAGTACTACGATCGTACGAAGAAATCGTGTGCATAGTATTTTCGTATAACTAAAGTGTACCTGTGATCCTGTTGATATGGAGTACATTCATCCTGGCCGGTGGTGGCCGGAAATAGCCGGGAACTCTCAGGGGCTGCACATGCATGTGGCGATGTGTTCGTGATCCACGGTTGGAAATTCCGGAAATAAAAGCAAAGATACGATACGATATTTCGGAAATTTCGGTCATTTCAGTCCCCTCCGATACGATGTTATTTCGAACAAAATTTTCTAGTTTTTTATTTTTTCCGTGAATTTTGGTAATATTGGTCCAAATTCAAGTAAAGTTTGTTCAAAATTTCGGAATTTCAGCATTTCGGTGGGCATCGATCAAATCGGCTAAACCGATAGGTTTAACCCTGCCGCAATCCGAGAGGCATGCAAGAGCACCCTGAGGCTCACAGGAAGCTTACCAAGAGTCGGCCAAGGATGGGCGAGCTCCGGTGAGGTTGGGCAGCGCGGGTGGCAGTGGAGTAGACAGGCGGCGACGGCGACACAGTGATGGCTTGATCTACAGCATGCATGCTGAAAATAACACATGTAACATGTGAAACACTAATCCAGGTTGCTACTGCTGCAAGCAATCGTCCAATGGCTCACCGGTTGGACGGGAATCGACGACGGGGGCGCTAGGTTGGAGTCGGAGAAGACGGTGGTTGATCTCCCTCCTCGGTGCACCGTTATTAGTTCTTGGGGCATTTCGGAGAGGATGATGAGGCAAAGCTAGTGGCGCAGCATCTCATCCGGATTCGCCTTGAGGCGGTGGGAACGGCGACGCGATCCCGCGGCGTCGACGGCGTGGCCCCGCTCCCATGCTCCCGTGGCGAGGTCGCCAGGTCGGCGTTCCTGGAGAATGGCAGTGAGAAATAGAACGAAATAAATACAGCAGCTGTGGCATACGAGCGGCGCAACAACTTCTCCACGGCCGCCGGCAACAAAAGTGAGAAAGAGAGCTGAAGAAATCTCTCCTCCCTTGGGTTTCTCAGCAATGGGTGAAGTGGGAGGGCGAATGACAGAGCTGGGGAACTTGAAAGCCACTTTGTTTGGCTTGAAGGATTCCGAGATGTTGTTTGTAATTAGGTAGTTAGCGATTAAGCTGGGCTACTGATTAATTAATGGAGTTGTCTTCTTACTTTTTTTAAATAAAAATGGAGCATGGAGACGAGACGAGCAGGCCAGTATAGGAAACTGGAGTAGTCAAACTCAAAAGCAAAGTTGCACAGGACTTTCACACCATGTGAGTTGCATAATATTGGAGTACATAAATTGTGGAAGTGCGCCTATATTAGCTAGGAGGGCGCTTACACCTTGCATTAATACAACCAATTTGTACTTTTAGCACCTAAGATAGCTCCGTACTCTAACACATCAACGGTTTCAAGTGCCTGAGGTTCGTTAAAGATTTTACAATCTCGTGCTAGATTCTTGAGGCGAGTACGTTGTTCCTCCGAGTCCCATGAATGACCGGACATAAAACTATATTCAAGCATATATGAGATTTGTCCCCAACATACGAGACGATCCGCATCGGTTGAGGTAATGTAGGCAACGGAGTCCCAACCTATTTCAACCGCATTTCTTATAGGAAAGAACCTGAGAGCTTCGCAGAAGGTAAGAAGGATGATCACTACCGCACGTTTTATGGTTGCTTCATCAGTGCGATTTGGATCGTATTCTGAAAGAACTTTTACCGCCCACTCCGTTTGACGCCTACCGAGAGGGTAGTTTGGAAGGTTTTTCCGGAAGCCGGCGATCGATGCGTAGTCCACTCCAAAGCTGAGAGGCCTGGCCCGAAAGGAAGGCGGCAGGTCGTTCCTGTCCTTGAAAGAGAACCATTGCCCTGCTTTGTTGGCGAAACCTATGAAGTAGATGTTGGAGTCGCGGAGGGCGAGCGTGGCCGTCTTGTCCCCGTTGGCCACCAGCTTCGGCAACAGCAACCGTTCCGGCGGGACGGTGTCGTCGTACTGGGGAGCCAGCACCGGATGGTCTTCCGGCACCATGACCTCCGGGCGAGTGTTGAGGAGCACGAGGTCTCGCCATTTCTTGATCAAGTCGCGGTACGGCGACGTGCTCACGTCCATCTCCGTCCTGTCTATGGTAGGTACAGAGTTGGGAGGAGGGACGAAGGGGTTGCGGCTGAGGCCGATCCTCGTCGGGGTGGCGAGAAGGGGAAGGTAGAGGAGCAGGAGGACGGCTGCAGGCTTCACCATGACGGCTAAGCTGGTGCAATTAAGCAAAGGTGAACTTGAAGGTTTGGGCTTTTTTTTTATCAATCACGCTACAAATGTCTACTATAAATACATGTACACCGATGTACTCTTTGCACGTACTCATGCAAAGAGAACCTGGCTCATCCATTTGCATCATCAACCAAATGGCATATTAATTGTAGCACAATCTTTTTACCTGATGATTGGTAGGAGGCAAGTAGGCAACTCAACATCATTTGATATTCTGATCCCAGATCATTTCCTAGCTACTTCTACTCTAACATGCGCGCAGGTCGCGCGCCCACAAACGCCCCCCACCTTCCATTTTCAACCTTTGGGCTATTTCAATTTCGGGAAGGCCACTTCCCCTATTTGGTCTCACACGCGTGCGGTGCGGCCGTGCGGGCTTGTGCCGAATTCAGGTGGTGGCATGCTGAGCAAAACGACGTGGGCTTGAACGGCCCATATAAACGTCTGTGTCTTTTTTTTAATTCAAATATTTATATGTATAAAGTTTATATATTAAATATTTTTATGCATGTATACTTTGTGTTTACATCTAAAATATGATCTTTGGTAACTTTATCACTAAATCTTTAGTTTTGAGATATAATGCTTTAAAAGCTGAATTCTAAAGTGAAGTTGGAGTGAGCTAATCCATCTTTTCCAGTGATCACGTTTCCAAATTATTAAATGGTGCAGTTTTTGAAAAACAATATATAGAAGTTTCATAAAAATTAAATAAATATATTTTCCAAGCTCACAATAACTAATACCAAATTAATCATGTGCTAATAACTCGTATTGTTCTCCGTGTCAAAAAAAAAAGCTCAATCACAACCTCTTTTAAACTCAGCCTTAATCTATAGTTTTAAATTTGGTACTATATTTATAGTTTATGATACGCACAGTTATAGAGAAAATCCTTTACCCACCTATGAACGTTCAAATCCCTTAGCCTTATGTGTCCCTTAATTTAGCCTCATCCCTTCATCTTGATCCCATATATGCTCATTCCATGAGTTGATTGTCGGTTGACCGTAGATTTCTTCAAAAGTGTCAATATCACCCTTATTGTCTTACTTATGTGCTTATAGTAGTTGATTGGGAAAAAAACATGGCTCTCAACCTAAAAATGACTAGATGATATGCCGCGTTTAGCTGCGGGATATATGTTAGATATTGGAGAAATTATGAAATGATTTGGATTGAAATATTATGAAAATGATTTGAGAATAATGATTTAGCATGTGTATGTTTAGTTTTAGAATGAAATAAATTATAGATATAATTACTATATGCTTACATGTTAAGCTTTATGTGCTTAAAATAGGTTGATGTGGCATGGTTGCATGTAGTTTTAGGACTGATGATAAATACTATGCTTGCATGTTGAGCTTTAGATGTTTAGTGAGCTTTAGCTTTATAGAAAGAAGATATTTGTTTATAAAAAAGCAAACATGACATAATTACTTCATCACAAATTTGAAACTAAAACATAGATTTTTTTTTAAAAAAAATAAGTTTCAAATCAAATTTGATGAGATTTATTCAAAATTTTCGCTGAAATTTAAACCCAAATAAGAAACATTTTTGGTTTTTTAGTTCACCAATAAAACCTTTGTGTGGATTTCATTATTTTTTAAAAAAAATGAAAATAAATTTAAATTTTGTTTTCGAAATCCAGTGTCGAATAATCATGTCCCATTTGAGATCTTGTTATAGATTAAGCTCTCTTTATAACGAGACTTATGTTTTCAAAGTAGTTAACGCAGAGTACAAGTCGAGGGCAATAAAGTTATTTAATAAAGTTATTTTATGACAATTCTAATGGTCACATCATAGTCAACTCAGGGCATCAGCATAGAAGAGATCAAAAGAACATATAGAAACTTTCGATCGATTAGAAGCTGAGACCGCAAAAATGTCCAGTAATTGAGTACCTGATCTAGCTTTGTTTTAGGGGAAATTGAGTATCTGAGTTGTCCATGGCAAAAACTAATCTAGCAGCATTAACATCGCAACAGGACAGCCGCCGCGCCGGACTTTAGCGGCACGGAGCAGTGGTACCTGTGTGCATCGAGATGCGGTGGAGAACGATGAGACCATGGCTCCGTTTGGATCAATAGGTTATTATTTAGTACTTTCTCAAATAGCCCCAAATAATATAAAAGTTACATACAGATAAACTATTTCAGGGCTATTTTTTTTTAAGTCCTCACTCAAATAACCTTAAATGTTGCATTGGCATTTGGCAAGGCACAGGAGCGCGCGCATGCTCTCCTCGCGCTCGTTCCTGGCCAGTGGCCACCACGATGCGCCGATCGGGAGCACCGGCCGCCGCACCATATCACCAGGAGCAGACGCCACGGAGTTCGTGCTGCTGCGCACCTCTAGCCGAAGCCCGAAGGCCGAAGCAGCTGCAGCGTCTGTACAAGAGAGGACAGGAGAAGAAGAGGAGGAGGTTATTCTCTGACTTGTGGGGCCTATTATGGGCAAAATAGAATTTTTCATGCCGGTGGTCCCCGCTGGCACACCGATGTAGGGAAAAGTGGCAAAATATTAAGCACTATTCTCTCACCCGTGGTAAAAATGTAAAGTCAATCTATTATATTATTAAAGGAATAGAAAAAGGAGCCTCCACGTTCGCTCTCATGGCCTAGAAATTCTCACAATAATCGGAGAAAAAGAAAAAAAACAGAGTCCATATAGAAATACAATTTAGAAATAGCTGAAATTCGGAATTAAAAAATAAGGAATATTAGAAGAGAAGACTAGAGTCCATATAGAAATACAATTTAGAAATAGCTGAAATTCGGAATTAAAAAATAAGGAATATTAGAAGAGGAGACTAGAGTCCATATAGAAATACAATTTAGAAATAGCAGAAATTCGGAATTAAAAAATAAGAAATATTAGAAGAAGATACTAGAGTCCATATAGAAATATAATTAGGAAATAATAGAAATTCGGAATTAAAAATAAGGAATATTAGAAGTAGAGTATAGAGTCCATATAGAAATACAATTAAGAAAAGAAATAGAAATTCGGAATTAAAAAATAAGGAATATTAGAAGTAGAGTATAGAGTCCATACTAAAATTCGAAATAAACATAATAAAATTAAAACTAGTGTTTAGAGTCCGTATAAAAATACAATTTACAAATAACTAAAATTCAAAATTAAGAAAAATATGGGAAGAAGAGTTTAAAGTCAATATAGGAATACAATTTAGAAGTAACTGAAATTTGAAATTAAAAATTAAAGAATATTGAAAGATAAGTTTAGAGTCCACATAGAAATACAATTAGAAATAATAAAAATTCAGAATTAAAAAAGAAATATTAAAAAGCGAGTCTAGAGTCCATATAGGAATATATATAATTTACAAATAACTAAAATTTTATATTATAAATAATTAATAACTAACACGTATATAAAATACAATATGAATATTACACATTAGTGGTTTCGTAAAGTTATTGCAAAATTTAAAATTATGTTGTCATTTTAATATATTTGAATAATATAATGAGAAAACATATATGCTATTATATGAGAGAAAATATAATGATGCTAGCCGCGCAATCTGCGCGGGCCACCATGCTAGTTGTAAAATATTTGAAGAGTTGTCATATCTAGTAACGACAATTTGTCCTGTTCGTTTTCCCTAAACTTAGAGGATAAACTTTTGAATTAAAATGACACGTTTTTCAAACTACTAAACGGTGCATTTCGTGCGAAAACTTTCTATATGAAAGTTATTCTAAAATATCAGATTAATCCATTTTTTATGTTTGTAATAATTAAAACTCAATTAATCTCATGTTATTACTACCTCGTTTTACGTGAAACATTTAATTTCTATCTTCATTTTTATCTTCAGTTGATTCAAACACTACCCGGGTGGAGTACTCTGTTAGATAGTCGCTGACTGCCTGACTATGACGATAAACGCGGGCACGCTTGAACACAGTGATGAGTGGCTGGCTGGTGAAGCAGTGGATACAGGATAGCGGTCCAGCCTCGCGAGTTCGCGCGGTGGAGTCGAGGAGAGGAGAGCGGCGGAGATGGAGGTGGTGGACAATGTGGTGTGACAAACCTGGGGAGTGGTGCGTTCGGGAGGGCCCCAGAGGGGAAACGAAGAAATCTACGTCAGAGGGATGCTGGATATCGCTAGGCCCTCGTTCGGCATCGGACGGCCGGATGCAACCAAGCACAGCACGCCAAAAGGCTCCTCTCTGCCCACGCTAGCAAAATCAGCCCATCAACAGGCTCGCTCTTGGCCGCTTCACTCGCCCACCCATGGCCTTCGCCGATCGACGGTGCGGGAATGCAGGCACAGCTTCCTCGGAAAACCGATCCACGCATGGTCGCCTAGTGCTCCACCGATGGCGGCGGAAAGTCCTGCACCTCCAAGTCTCTCTCCTACGTGCGCTGGACATCTAGTCGTCACGCAATTACGCATCCTGACGACGCCAACGCCGAAGCCGAATGTCCACGTCCGCATCCTCCTTTATCCCCACCCCCTCCCCACGGCGATGTCGCGCGGACGCCGACGGTGACGACCACCACGACGGGGTCGGTGTCCCGGGCATAGGTCGCTGTCGCGCGCGGATTTCCAGAAGAGAAATGCAGTCGTGCAGGACGTACGATCCTGGCATCTTTACGACGCGTCGATCTGTCGATGGCAATGAGCTCGACGCCGGTGTCTCCACGTACCACTGGCCGGCTGCTCCACACCAAGTCACCGACCAGCTCACGTAGGTCATCGTTTCAGATCAAATCTCCAACTTTAAGGCTGTGTTTGATGGTGAGGGGATTGAGAAAATTGGGAAGATACGTAAAACGAGGTGAGCCATTAACGCATGATTAATTGAGTATTAACTATTTTAAATTTCAAAAATGGACTAATATGAATTTTTAAAGCAACTTTCATATAGAATTTTTTTTTGTAAAAATACACCGTTTAGTAGTTTGGGAAGCGTGCGCGCGGAAAACGAATGACAATCTCCCCAATCTCCTTTGAAAGAACGCAGCCTAAGCCACGTGATGGGAAAGTATGCTTAAATCATCTATGCACGGCCGCACGGGCGGCACGGCTACGGTTGTCATGGACGGCAACGTGGAGCGAGGCGGCGGCGCGCGGCTTTCGACGGTTCATCGTGTGGAGGAGCTCAAGTGTCGATCATCTGGGGTGAACAGGCTTCGGTCCGTTAACCACACGCTCGACGCGGAGGGCGCTGCGTGAATGAAAAACTCAGCGGTCATGCACGGGCGAGCGAAGCGGCCAAGAGCTTGACTGTTGATGGGCTGATTTTGCTAGCGTGGATGGAGGAGCCTGTTGGTGTGCTATGCTTGCTCACGTCCGTCCGATGCCGAACGAGCAGCTTAGGGTGTATTTGGTTCATGGTCATGCATTGTATATGGCGATTCAATTTTTTGTTTGATTTGTATGGATATGGCGATCAAATTTCTTGTTTGGTTGAAGGGATATAGCATATATGGGAAAAGCCTAGTGGGATTCATTTGTCATATGTATTTTATTGTCAAAATATAATCATCCGAGATATTGTTTTAAAGATTTAATTATAACAAATATAATGGTGTAATCAAATCATAAATTAGATAAACAGTTTAGGAGAAAAAATCATTTGGAGTTTGCTTAATAGAAAATTAAATTAACCACAACTAATGATAATAGGACACATCATCCAGACCAAAACTGAACGGCTTCATCCAGTCAAGTCGGCCAGATGCATTCATCTAGTATATTGAGGAAATATTCCCTATTCCGAGGCATCTCATCCATCCCGCCCTCCAACCAAATACCATAAAAAATCGGGCGGCCATCTCCCATCCAGGCTCATCCACCCAACCAAATACACCCACATCCAACATCCCTTTGACGATCCGTTTTCGCCAGGAGGGGAGAGGGCAGAGGAACGATAGAGGGTGTTCTTTTCTCCTGTAGGTGAATATGAAAATGAAGATTAAATATTTTACGTAAAACAAGGTGGTATTAACATATGATTAATTGAGTTTTAATTATTATAAACTTGAAAAATAGATTTATCTAATATTTTAGAGCAACTTTTATATATAATTTTTTTTCACAAAACTTATCGTTCAACCTTTAAAAAGTGTGCCACGAGTATCCAAATTTTCATCCCCTTTTTTCAGTAGAAACGAACGGGATCAGAATTGAAGAAACCGGCATGTAGTGCCGTCCGTCAACGCGGCACTCCACGTCTAGGCCCCTGCTATCCATATCCATATTATTTGGGTAGGGTATGGGTAAAAAAATTACCCATTTAAATTTTGGATATGGGGAGGGCATTACCCATTTTACCCCATTCTCATTTGTTCTTGAAAAGAGAAGCAAGCATATTAACGGAGCGCGTATGCCTTGTACTTGGACTTGGGTTACTACCGAGATTAAAAAGTAGGCAACATGAAGGCGGTATATGTAAAACTCGGATCTAAAATTTTAAAACCCCTCTTCACATTACAAAACTTATCAAATTTGACCAAAATTTGGAGGGATAATTTATCATATGGAAGAGTAACTTTGTACAATTTTTGTTTCATATCTACATGTGGGACCCACACATATATCACATTACAAAAACTTATCAATTTGACTAGAATTTGGAGGGATGATTTATTATATGGAAGATCAACTTTGTACAAATTTTGATTTATTTCTCTATGTGGGACCCACATATACCTTTTTTTTATTTATTGGGTTACCCATACTCATTGGATAATACCCATTTGATTTAGGTATGGGTAATGTTTTTGGCTGTGTTAGGCAGCGCTACATCATAGCTGCAGCCGCTGCTCTGCAAATCCGTAATAACTGAATCAACAATAAAAACGTTGTTCAACCTGCTGCAGTCCAGCCGCAGTATCTAGATTCCGAACAGGGCCTTTATAGATGGGGATAACTGAGGGTCTGAGACCATGTTTACTTCCCAAACAAAAAATTTTCGTCTTATCACATTGAATGTTTAGACACATGATAAAGTATTAAATATAAAATAATAATAATTACACAAATTGCGTGTAAATTGTGAGACGAATCTTTTAAGTCTAATTACGCTATGATTTAGCAATGTGGTGCTACAGTAAACAGTTGCTAATAATGAATTAATTAGGCTCAATAAATTCGTCTCACAGTTTCTAGACGAAATCTGTAATTTATTTTATTATTAGTCTATGTTTAATATTTTAAATGTGTATCCGTATATCCAATGTAACACGTCAAGAAAAAATTTCGTTTCCGAACTAAACAAGCCCTGAGTATGAATATGGATCCCACTGCCCTTCCCAGTCTCCACCCCACCCTGCGCGGCTGATACGTACGCGTGACGGAGCTGAAGCAGCAGCACGGGCGGCACGGCAAACGTTGTTTGCTGTTTCTTCCGCACGTTGCACCGTCGCTGCTGTGCCCGACACCACCAGGTTCGCTTTTTCATTCCCCCCGCGGCCCCGCGCTCTGCGCGCGACGCCCGGGCCCGGGCCGCGGTGCCGGATCACGGTGACACGGGACGAGACGCGGCGTGGCTATTCTGGTGGCGGCCTGTTTCGTTGACTCCGGCCTCCTCGCACGGTCGACGGTAGGTGGCTGGTTGGACTCGCGCACTCGTCAGCCAATCAACCTCATCGTCCTTTTGCAGCACGTCATGTATGATATATACATCCAATCCAAGCAAGCAAACACGTCACCGTATGTCCGTATGTATGATATATCCAAGCAAACGCAAGCGCTGCAGATTATATTGAACCCCAAAATTTACGACGGGGTTGAACTACAGCACTACACTAACACATTGCAGCCAAAAGTCGTCAAAATGGCACACAATCTGGTCCCATACGAGTTGCTAACAGCCAGATTTATAGGAGGATTCTTTTTTTCTTTCCTGCCATTCTGATGTTAAAACAGCCCCGCTCATCCGAGCAGGGAGAACCAATGGGTCTCTCATGCCAGAGATATTACAACACGATCACCAGCCTTTTCCTATCAACCACAGCCAGTCGAGCACAACGCCGGAGAAAATGCCGCCGAGGAGGCAGACCACCAGCACGTTGCCCAGCGCGTTCTGCTCCGGCCCCTGCAAAACAGCAACAAAAATTCAGAAACACGGCCTGAAACACTGGCTGCAACCAAAAAAAAAAAGAAAGAGAGGAGGAGGATGAGATTGCAAACTCGCCTTGTATCCTTTGGGCGCCTCGGTGAGGACGCACACGGTGAGGAAGCCATTGGTGAGGCCCAGGAAGGACGTCAGGAAGATCATGTAGCCTTGATCGCCGTACTTGGCAGTGAAGTAGAACGCGGGGATGAACAAGAACCGAGCCAGGATCGCCCCCGTGAGACCCTTCCGGGAGGTCAGCTTGATGCACTTGATCAGTGGCAGGTACCTCCCAATCAGATCCCACACATTGTACATCGCAATGAGCGTCAACGCGTACCTGAAATTTTGTCAGGAATGGACGGCATGTGAGGTATTTGCACAACAGCACTAGATTTTAGTGGAAGCTACAGTACATGTGTTTACATGCAACTAAGTGCTTGAGAAAATGGATAGAAAGTAAGATAAGATACCATGTTCCCAGGCTGTGTGCTCCAGTATCTTCAGACAAAAATCCAGGGAAGATTGATAGAGTCAGGACATATATCAGGAAAATGTCAAATGCGTAGTCTATGTTCTGTATCAACAGATCTTTGGTGCTTAAACGATCGCATTTTTTGGGATCTTCCTCGGCCTGCAGAAGTCAGAATATAATCATATTAGTTTGGTTGTCATGATAAAGTTAGGAAATGAATAGAGGAATTGATATTGTGAGACAGACTTGTATAGAATGTTCATTGCTGATTCCTGCAGCAGCAAGATCACTTGCAACAGTCTTGCTCCCTTCAGCGGCGGCCTTTGATCGGTAGTGCTTCACGATGGGTAACTTGGGAAAGACATACGCATAAAGGAGTAGGCACACTAGCTCGAAGAAGCATGTTATCGAAAAGAACAGTACTGCACCGAGCAATCAAACATCGATTGTTATGCAGGAAAAAACATTGCAAATTTTCAAAGTTTGTGAAAAACATTGGAGAAGGCACTGAAGATAAGTATGTGAGATTGGAAGAAGCGCTGAAGGTACTTACTAGCTCCATTACGAAGACCATTTTGTGAGTTCTCAAATGCTGCTTTTGTAATTAATCTCAAGGCTGATGTTAGAACTCCTGATGCAGCCAAGCCAGCAAGGAAAGACTGAAAATTCAAAGCAGGATATGAATCTTCAAGGTAAGGATGTAATTTGAGGATGATCAAAATAGCAAGAATCATCACGAATCTCTGAACCTCATGTGAAACGCTACCTGAATAAACTCCGGGCACATGAAGGAAAGGTCGCCAACCAAACCGCCTTGAACACTGGCATCAGCTGTCCCAAATAAGGCACTGATTATGCAGACACCGATAAATGGACCAAGTCCACCCCTTCCTTTAGTACCAATGTCCAGCTAGAGTAACAGAGATGATTAGATGAGTTATACTGGCACATCATATATATTTTTTTGAACACAAGACAATGTACTTACCATTATTAATGCAAAAGAACTAATTAAGAAAAGTGCAAATCCAATTAGATTCCTCTTCCTTGTGTTGAGCTTTGCTTCATGGTATGTCAGGATGCAGGTTATTCCGAAGGCAAAAGGTTGGTAAGCTATTGTAAGAACTCTTGTTGGATGGTATGTCTGCAACCAAAAGTAGTACGTTAGATATGCTAGGGTATTTACTACATTTCCGTGTATGAATGCAATAAATTCTGCAATGAGAGGAAAACTTTATTTTGATTGACAAGCTATCTTAGATGTAGCCTGAACCGATAAGATTGTATTGGTTGTCTATCCCAACACTCTGATGAAAAGTGAAAGGCAGAGGATGCTTAAAGCATCTATTCAAGTATGCTGCGTGTATGATGCTACTGAATTGGTTTCCATTTAAACCATGAATTGAATATAGTAAAATATATCCCATGATTCACAACAAATGATAAGGATGCTTTTTTTTTCAATTGAAATGCAAAACCCAACAGAACTTGAGTGCCTGATCTCATTAAAGCCATGAATGGAATGTCCGAGATAAGCATGTACCGGGAACAGAATTGAATAGTAATCTTCAATGGTGAGCATACTATTCCAAGCGAAGAGGCTTCCATTTCCCAAAACCCAGCAGACAAGTATACCCAAGAACTTCCCCTGTCAATTTCAACCAAACACAACAAAGTTTCAGTAACCATTTCTAGTACTGCATAGAAAGATATCTGAAATTTGCATTATTAGAGAATAAGGATAAGTTAAGATACCTGAGCCTGAGGTGCCCCCGCACCTGCGACCTCGAGGCTCATGATAAAGTTCACCTGCGCCTATTCAAGAAAGTTTCTAGGATAGGCACACACTGCAAAGAGACATGTAGCATTTATTTCAGAATTCAATACTGCAAAGAGATGAGACAGAAGCAGAACTGGAATATTTTGTTCGTTAGCCGATAAAATACTATAGTTTCAGAGAGCATGGTTAAACAAGACCAAAATAATCCTAACGCCTTAGTTAAATAAAGAACAGGGCACAGAAGTATCTAAATACGATTGTTCAGTTCCTCTGCTATTCCAAACTGAAAGTTTCAGAATTCAGATGTTGAAGTTGAAGATGCCTAGCTACTGCTCTGAATTCCGAAGCAGCAACAAGAGAAACATAAAAAGGAGCTGCCTAATCCACACCACGAACACGATTCAGCAACAACGCATGGGCCACGAAATCCGGCAGAACACTCGCCATGACGCCACGCCACCGGCACACCACAATTCACAAACTACAGAGAAGGCCAGAAACGCAAACAGATCCAACCCCAAATCGCATGAACCCCACAAAAAAAGGGCATCCGCCTAACAAGAAACCATGCGCCGAACAGATTACCACCAGAGACCTCGCGAACCACCATACCCCCAACCCGAGTTAGTATAAAACAAACAAACAAAAAAAGAACACCTAGGCTAAACCATAAACCACGAGTTAAAAACTTAAAACACCAATTCACCACCACCACCACCAACAACAACGTCCCAAGAAAGAGGCATGCGGGAGAAGAGCAGAGCACTGACCTGCCGCTGCTCCTCCACGGCGAGGCGGCGGCGGCGGCAAGGGGAGGAGAGGAAGCCGGGTAATAACCCGGAGGAGGAGGAGGAGGAAGAGAGAGGGGGGCAACTATAACTAACCCAAGCGCGCGTGGGATCCGGTTTATATATACATCTGGGCGCACGCACGCGCACGCGCATATAGCGCGCGATTAATTTGCGGGCGAATGCAGCTGGAATCTCTCGGGTTTCTTTTGACCCCTCTCGGTGGGAGAATCTCTTCCAGAGGATTACGCCGACGTGCTTCCCTTATTAATTTAATTAATTGTTATTGGGCTAACAATATTATACATGTGCGAGGAGGATAACAAATCGGAGCGGCGAGGAATGGTTGCGTGGGAACATCGGACGGCGTTCAGACTGTCCCTCCTGCGTTCCCACTACTGTTAACAAGAAAAAGAGATACTCCCGCAGTTGACCTTTGTAAATATATTTCATCATTCGTCTTATTTAAAAAAAATATAATTATTATTTATTTTATTTTATTGTTACTTGATTTATCATCAAATATTTATTTTAAGTATGATTTAAATATTTTTATATTTTAAAAAAATTGCATTAAGTAAAGATACTAAGACACTAATATAAGTAGTACCTTCATCAGTTTGAATGAAGACACTGACTTTTGGGCTAACCATTCGTACTATCACAAATTTATCGGGAGTAACCATTAGTTATTTTTTAAAAAAATAATAATAAAAGTAAGGACAACCTATATTTTGTTATAAATTCAAACATCAAATACCTAGTTTTAGATATATTTAGAAATATATTTTGTCGTATATTTAGAAATGAAACGACTGCATAATGTGAGAAAAATAATTTTTTTTAGATAATGAAAAAAAAATCTAGTTAGGTGTGCCCTATTAGATTTAAATGCATATTAGATGCGTATTTATATTCGACGATATCTGCAACGGGGGAGAATAGCAGATTAGTGAATAATATTGATCCCCAGATTTAATTTGCAAGGCTGGAGATTCATATGTATACGGTATATCAACAGTATCTCTCATCATTGTGCTGCTGGTTTATTACTTTCCTCCTAGAAGAAAAAGAAACGAATAAGTGTAGTATTTTCGAAAGTGACGTGACGAGTTGGACATGGCCATCTCTTAGCCAAAAAAAGCTCTTGCTTTTCGGTTGCCCCACATACAGATAGTCAGATAGAGATGTAAAAGATTATAAAAGAAGACAAGAAAAGATGACCATAAAAATCAAAGAAGAAAAAAAGAAAGGAGCTTCTTGGTTTGACCTAAGAGTGACATGATAGTGGAGTCCACTAATCTCAGCCGTACGATGTCCTTCTCATGATTAGAAATTTGGGGATCGGTTCTTCCAAGTGGCTCGCTTTTTATCTTGTGAATTCGCTGTGATTTAGACTGAAGATTGTTGTGCTTTGCACGATGACTACTCCCTCCGTACTTATAAAGGAAATCGTTTAGAACAATGTTTAAGTTAAACCTTGAGAATATAAATCATGAATAACTCTCAATTTATTGAGTTTGAAAATGTAAAAATTATATGAATAGATTTGTCTTGAAAAATACTTTCATACAAGTATACATATATTACTTTTCAATAAATATTTTTTATAGAAACAAGTAGCCAAAGTTGTGTTTTAGAGATGGAGTCGCTGTTCTAAACGACTTCCTTACGGAGGAGTATATGTTCTCAGCTTGGGCTGACTTTGTTAGGACTGGTTGGGAACAAGTATGCTGTGCACGGAAAACGGAGTGGTCTATTAGCGTGCGATTAATTAAGTATTAGCTATATTTTCCTTTAAAAATGGATCAATATAATTTTTTAAGCAACTTTCATATAGAAACTTTTTACAGAAAATATACCGTTTAGCAGTTTGAAAAACGTCCGTGTGGAACACACTAGAGAGAGGAGTTGGGAAAACTGGCTGCCGAACACAGCCTTGGCCTTTCTGCCTGCCTGCCACCTTAGACTAATTTTCGTTAGTTTATGACAATCCAGAATTGCAGCTTTTTTGGGTCAAACGCTGCGAGCCTGGGAATGTGGTGCTCGTATAGTATAATAATCTACAGAGATGAAAGTTGATGATTGTTCTTATCTCCATGATAAACGGTGTTTAGGGGTAATCAACTCCCCGCCGCTAAAAACAATCATTTGCTTGCATCAACAGCTAATCCAGAGAAACGTGACACGGACGATGCTGACAGCCCGTCGTCGTCATCTGCGTTGCTGAGCTACTGCAGATGATTGCATCAGATACCTTCAGTAGCAATTAGACACCCAAGATGAACTGTTGTTTTATCTGCAATTTCTGCATCACCCTGAACTCAGTATCAACTATCAAGCATCTGAAACTCTGTTAATAGAAAATGGGAAAAAGACATGTAATGCAACTATGCAAGACATAATATTTTACATCTCAAAAATATGCCTTTACATATGTTCTTCCTCGCTTTCCTCCTCACCATTTCGATACATTTGCAGGTTTAATTTTCAGCAGAAGAGACTGTTCAAGCTGTGACTGGAGCTTAATTGCATCCAGGGTCCCATACACTCGCACAAAACATTGAAGAATATGTTACACAAGTCGATCAATGGTCACCACCCTTTACCTATCAACCAGAGCCAATCAAGAATGGCCCCGCAAAATATGCCTCCCAACAGGGAAAGCACAAGCAAGTTGCCCAAAGCATTTTGTTCTGGTCCCTGCATGAAGAATCATTCATGGGATATAGTTCTTTTTCTTTGAAAGATCATTCATGGATGTAGCTTATCAAATGCTACAAAAAGGCAACATCAATGGTTGAAAACATTCATTCATCCACTAACCTTGTACCCTTTGGGTGCTTCGGTGAGGATGCAGACGGTGAGATATCCGTTGCTCAAACCGAGAAACGACGTTAGCATGATCATCCAGCCCTGGTCACTGTACTTTGCAGTGTAGTAGAATGCAGGAATGAGCAAGAACCGCGAGACGACGGCGATCAGTATCACCTTGCGGGACCTTAGCTTGACTTGTTCAATCAGAGGTATGTATCTTCCGATCAGATCCCATACGTTATAGCTCGCGATCAAGACAAGTGCATACCTGCATAATGATGTGACAAGAACAAGAGGATGGGTTTTAGAAGTAACCTGTCAATGATCGATCCAAAGTCAAGTACGAAAGTTAGGACAGTACCAAGAGCCCAAGCTGTGTGATCCAGTGTTTTCAGCTAAAAAACCCGGAAAGATGGACAGTGTCAGTAAATAGATCAAGAACAAATCCAATGCATAGTCTGTGTTCTGTAGTAGCAACTGCTTGGTACTCAAACGTTCAACGCAGGAAGGGTCTTCTTCAGACTAAAAATCCATATAAAACTTGGTGTTAACAGATCCTCTTGCTAAGATTCATTAAATGATACAAAACTTCCTACAAACTAAGAAGATACCAGTGGATTTGCGCGATTTTGGATGCCACCAGCAGCAAGATCAGCAGCGACTGTCAGAGACCCCTCTGAAGCTGCTTTTGAACGATAAAACTTCACGATTGGCAGCTTCGGGAAGATGAAAGCATATAGTAGAACACATAGTAGCTCAAAGAAGCATGATATTGAGGAGAACAACACTGCGTCAATTAAGTAGATATGTAAGAAACAAGATAGAGGTTGCATAGGGATAATCATATACGATTGTTGCATCATACTAGCTCCTTTGCGAAGGCCATCCCTGGAATTCTCAAAAGCCGCCTTTGTTATAAGCCTCAATGCAGAGGTTATCATTCCTGATGCAGCTAGTCCAGCAAAGAAGGACTAGAAATCAAACAAATAAATCAGTGAGCTAAATTTGAAGGTAAAAAGACCATAGCGATTTGTCTATGCATCCAAGGGGAGAGATTCACCTGGATAAATTCTGGGCACATCAGGGAGAGATCACCTGTCATTCCACCTTGAACATGACCATCGGCAACACCAAAGGCAGCAGCAATGATGCACACGCCAACAAATGGCGTGATTCCACCTCTCCCTGAAGTTGCAACATCCAACTGCAATGTAGGAGAACACACCAGTGTGATACAGTTCTGCTGATTTAGTATTAACCATGTTAGAACTGCAATAAGTAATCCTTACAACGATCGCTGCAAATGAGCTCAAGAAGAAGAGTGTGTAACCCGCCAAATTGCGCAACCTAGTGTTGACCTTTGCCTCATGATACGTGAATATGGCAGTTGTGCGGAGGACGAATGGCTGATAGGTGAGAGTAACAACTCTTGTTGGATGGTAATTCTGAAGTCAGAGAGCACAAAATCCGTTAGAAATATCTTCCTTTTTTGTCAGCAATTTTCCTATCGCTAGACAATTAAGAAGAAACCAATATTACTTCATACAATTCATACCGGAAAGAGAAAGGTGTAGTAATCTTCGATTGTAAGCATGCTGTTGAACCCAAAGAGGCACCCATTTCCCAGAAGCCAGCAAATGAAAATACCCCAACATTTTCCCTATTATCAGTGTCGCAACATTGCCAGAACAGACATTTAGTAACACTGAATAGACTAAGTACATTTTCAGGTGAAGATAATCAATGAAAACCTGAGTCGTAGCTACTCTTTGTTCTCCTTTACCATATGCCATGTTTGTAGTCAACTAGGATGACCCTAGATCAAGAAAAACAAGAACTAAGTAGAATTGAGAGTGACCATGCCAAATACATGTATAAAGAAATGAGAACTTAGAACGCAAAACAACACTTACAGTGATCACTCTGTGATATGAGGAGCTGCGCACCCAATGTTAGAAGGAAGAGGGACATATAATGACAAGCCAGAAAGGTAAAACTCATACACAAATTGAACAAGAGAGCAATCTTGGAAGGGAACAGAGGAATAAAGGAAGCAAAGGGTTGCATTCCCAAGAAAATTAATATGAGATTAGATGAACTAATAAATATTTTATACACCTCAGCCAATCACATAGTACTATATACGCCATTATATCAAAGCGTCAACGCAACAGATTGGATCACAATCACATGACGAAAATTATTGGTGATAGCAACTAGCAAGGATGTGTACAGCTTCACGGGATAGCTGAAGCTGGATAATGATTAATGAAAACAAAACATTTCTAATGCATACCCGATGATTGAAGATTGTAGTTATATTCAACGGCATGTGCATCAACGCATGACGAATTGACGACTCCTTTGCGGCGCATTCCCACTAGACCATAGATGTCCCGAGACTCGCCTCACCGGTGTCCTGTTAGAGCAAACTTGCCATTGCTTCTTAGAGTCAACACACGCCGGAATTCATAGAATTTTCGCCGTATACCTCATTGGTTTCGCGTCGTCTTCATCGTTAGTAGATTGGAAAGGGATGTATGAAATCTCAATCCAGTAAGCCACTAAACCTCCCTGCAGTACACGCTGGCTGTTAGTCAAGAAAGTGAAATTCTTGAGCTGGGATAGATTCTCAGTTTCTCACTCTGAGTGCGACAAGTGAGTTCATGGCCAGGTTCACACTGGGACACTGGGTCCTTGCACAAACAACTACTCTAATGGCTACTGCTCGGAACAAATTATTATTTCTGAAACAAAGAATTGTTCATGAGGGCACGGCATTGGAATGCATTCGAAGACCAAAACAAAGATCATATCTAGGACTAGGAAATCAAGAAGGAAACCTTCTTGCCTGGTGCATGCGCAGCGGCGCAGCGAGAAGAGGAACGAACCCCTGTGTCTTCTCGGCCAGGGCCCAGGAGGAGCCCCCCATCTGCGCGGCTGCGCCGCGGATAGGGAGAGAGAGAGCGCGAACGGAATTTGGAAATCCCGGACGGGAGAGCGTTCGGCTCGGCGGCGCGATTCGGCGGCGGCGCCGCGCAGACGGACAGACGAGGGACCCGGAAACGGAAGAGAAGATGGGCATTGGAGTGGGCAGTAATGGGCCACAGATGAGCTTCGGTTTAATCATAAGGAATAAGTCCACTTTTCATCCCTAAACTTTACGTCGAGTTTGTGTTTTTTTTTTGAAAGAACCCAGCAAGCTGGTTTTATATTATAGAAGAAGTGAGAGAAACTGTACAGAACAGAAGAAGACAGGGGAGACGTTCCCGGAGGAATTCTTCCTGCCTGCACTCCCTAAAAAAACAAAAGCCTAATCTCTTAACATAATACACTTCACTCCCTTGGCACCTGCCATTTCCCACAAATGAAGCTCATCTATGATCTTGCTAGCAAGTACCGATGGTGTAGATTCTTTCCCTCTAAAGATGCGATTGTTCCTTTCCATCCAAATCTCCCAAAGCGTGGTCAAGACTGCTGAAAGTAGCCCTTTCTGTTGCAACTTTTCTGCCTCATCTATTTGCTTGCGCCACCAATTGAGGAGAGTGTTGTCTGTGGTCACATGTAGGAAACGTTGCGGTCTGAATTTGCGACCAATGTCCCGCCATACCTGCTGCGTGAAGGGGCACTCCATGAAGAGGTGCTGTACCATTTCGAGATTTCTGAAACAGAGTTGGCAGAAATAGTTATTTGGCCAGCCTCTGCATTGCAAACGATCTGCCGTCCATATTCTATTTTGCGCCAGCAACCACGTGAAGAATTTGTGTTTCCGTGGTGCCCAAGTTTCCCATACAAGCTCAGCAGAATCCGAAAACGTTTTGCCCATGAACTGCATGACATATGCTGATTTTGCCGTATACAAGCCACTGGCCGACCACCGCCAGAGGATTGTGTCCTCAGCCCCTTCATGAATCACCTCTCCTGCGTTGTGGAGCACTTCCCATACGCATATATATATATATATATATATATTCCTGAAGCAGCTGTATTGTCACCCCTCCGCGGATGTCTTCGATCCAAGCATCATTGGTTATTGCCTCAAGAACCGATCTGTTTTTCCTTTTGGAGTGCTTGAAGAGGTTTGGGGCTAAGTATTTCAGCGGCTGATCTCCTATCCAGTTGGATTCCCAAAATTTTGCCTTTCGTCCATCTCCGACCAATACTTTGGTGGCAGCAGCAAACAGAACACGATCGGTGTCATCACAGGGCGGCAGGGTTCCTATCCATGGTTTTTCCGGGCTTGTCCACTCATACCAGAGCCAACGTAGCCTCGGCGATCGTGAGAACTTCTCCAAACAAGGTATGCCCAATCCACCATGTATTGTTGGAGAACATACTTGCTACCAATTCACTTTACATTTCCCGCCCAAGCTTTCTTGGTCTTCGGCCCAAAGAAATTTTCGTCGCGCTTTGTCAACATAATTTAGGAATCCTTTTGGTGGTTTAAGAACGGTCAGCAAGTAGGTTGGAATGGCACTGAGAACTGATTGCACAAGAACCTTCTGCCCGCTTTGATAAACTAGCTTGTTTTCCAGCCCCCATCCTTGCTCTGATTTTGTCCATTACCGGCTGCAAATGGACCCGCTTTAACTTCCCCGTAGTAAGAGGCAGTCCAAGGTAGGTTTGGGGGAAAGCACCCAGCTGCCCATCGAAGTTTTGAGAAATATCTTGGAGATCTATGTCGTTGCATCGAATTGGCATGATTGAACTCTTTGTTGTGTTTAGCTGCAGGCCCGTGGCATCCTCGAATTTGTCCAGGATTCCCAATAGGGTTTGCACTTCCTGGCGTGAAGGATTTAGGAACATTGCTGCATCATCTGTATAGAGGGAGGTTCTGAATTTTAGTGCTCGCGGGGCTACGCTTGTCAACATTCCTTCCCCGGTGGCCAAGTCCAGGATCTTCTGTAGGGGATCGATGGTCAGGATGAACAGGTAAGGGGATAATGGGTCACCTTGCCGTAATCCTCGGCGATGCTGAATACATTCCCCCATACTTCCATTCAAAGATATCCTGGATGAAGATGTTGCTAGTAAGAGGGAAATCCAATCTCTCCATTTAGGACACGTCGAGTTTGTGTGACATCCCTTATCTCTAATACCAGAAATCTTCACCTCTAAACCATACAAAACCTTGCATCACTTTACGTATAGATGCCTGGTTTCGCTGATATGGCATCCTAGTCAACAATCAAAAAGAATAAAAAAATGGGGTCCACATATCAGCGTCTTCTTTCTTCTCTTTTCTTTTCAAGTCTAGGAGGTAAAGGGAGGCGGCCAGCGGGATTCCGGCGGTGCGAGGTCATGGGCATTGGGGGCACCAAAGTAGATGGGCTCCAACCCGCCCTCCAGCACATAGTAGAGCTTCTCCGTCGCGTAGCTATCGGCGATAGTGTTCTCGATGGCGACATGAACTTATAGTGTGACATTGCGCGTCATGCTCCACAACCGCATCCCCGCACTCCATTGCCGCCCTTGGCCCCTCCTCCTTCACCTGCGTCGCTATCCTCATCGCGCTCCTCCGCGTGCACCGCCTCAGCAACTTCTTCGTGCTCCACGGGTTCGCCCTCCAAGCCATCGTCTCGCCCACCGTCGTCACCCTGATGCTGCGTGCACAACGAACCTTTGGATGTCGAGATCGACAATGTCATTGATGGCAGCATCGAGGTCGTGGCAGTGGGACTTGGGCGCTAACAACTTGAGCTCATGCGCGACGTTGACGCCCCAGCTGACCTTGAGATCCAGCGCGTAGAGGTGGCGCACAGCCGCACCGATGGTGTCCCTATTGGGGGCATGGGTGGCGCTGTAGACGTCAACAAAGCGGTGGACGATGCGGTGCCTGAGGTTGCGAGCACGGGGCTTGGTGGCGGTGGCCCTGTCGATGGCGGTGAAGAGCGAACTGCCGTCGGTGTTGACTTCCCCGACGTGGCCAAGGCGGAAGATGAGGGACAGGAGTGGGAGCAGGGAGGGAAGCTTCCAGGTGACTCCACGTCCATGCTCCTAGATCCAGTGGAGGTGGCGGCGGTCCAACACAAGGGTTAGGGGTGGACCAAGTGAGGAGCGGGGGCACAAGGATAGGGGAAGGGGGAGCGCCTTGGTGATGGTAACGGCAGCAAAAGAGGAGCTTGCCCATTCGAGTCAGTTTGGCAGCGAAATATCTCGTGGATAGGGCCACTTACATGTGGGCCCCACATATTTTTTTATTCCCTCCTTGCTGACTAGGATACCACATCAGCGAAACCACCCATGCATACCGCCATGGGATCTACTTTGCACGATTTTGAACATTTGAGAGGTAGAGCTTTATGGTATTAGAGATTAGGGATGTCATACAGACTCGACGTAAAGCTAAGGAACGGCAAGTGGATTTATTCCTAATCGTTATGGGTCCTAGGTGCCACCGGTCTGAGGGAACATCAATACCCAAATGGACCGAGTTATGGAGTATGATATTCTCTAAAATAGTTATGAAATATTTTCTTCCAAAATTTAATGTAAACCATTTTGAAAAGACCAATCTAAATAGCTTTTATGAATAACCATATATGGTCCTTGACAAAAAAAAATGGTGTAAATACTCTCTTTTAATCGAGCACGTGGCATAACATTTTAAACAAAGCATTTAAAACATTATTGGTGATTAAAAGTTTTAAATGCTTAATGTTGTTTCTTTCTGATTTGATATAATATCACAATTGATTATCATTTTCGTGTTTTACAATGATGTCGAATATTCAGATTTCCTGTACATGCAAAAACAAAAACATTTTTTTATCACCACCCTTTGCCTATGAGCCACATCCAGTCAAGAACAACCCCACAAAATATGCCCGCCAAGAGGAAGAACACAAGCATATTGCCCAAAGCATTCTGTTCAGGTCCCTGCAAAAAAATCATGCACACAACTTGAGCCCAATCAACCAACATAGAGATGGTTCAGAAAATTCAGAGACCAAACCTTATAGCCTCTGGGCGCCTCAGTGATGACACAAACGGTGAGATGCCCATTGCTCAACCCAAGAAACGACGTTAGCATGATCACCCAGCCCTCGTCACAATACTTCACCGTGAAGTAGAACGCAGGGACGAACAAGAACCTTGCAACGACTGCGATTAGCAGCCATTTCCTGGATGTCAGCTTGATCTGCTCGATCAGTGGCATGTATCTCCCGATCAGGTCGGACACATTGAACGTTGCGATCAGCACAAGCGCATACCTGAATTTTTCAAATTTGAGTGATGAATTTATGCATGGCACTAGCAAAAAAGTTACTGAATTTTTTCAGAGATTAGTAGGTCAGTAACTAGTACCAAGAACCCAAGCTGTGTGTCCCGGTGTCTTCAGCCAGAAAGCCCGGGAAGATTGACAGTGTGAGGACATAGATCATGAACACGTCCAGAGCGTAGTCCATGTTCTGATTTAGCAGCTATCTGTTGCTTAATCGTTCTGCGAAAGCCTGGTCTTCTTCATCCTGATAAATTCATGGCACAAGTTCAGAATGGTATCATCTCTTTTCAACCTGAGCATGATTGCTTGCTCGAATTGCATACCAAAGGATTTTCTGGCTGACTTTTGATGCCACCGGCAGCGAGGTCAGCAGTGACCGTCAGAGACCCCTCGGAAGCAGCCTTTGTGCGGTAGAACTTCATGATTGGCAGCTTTGGGAAGACGAAGGCGTAGAGTATGACACACAGAAGCTCGAAGAAGCATGCTATCGAGGAGAACATCACTGCCATCGATTTGCCAAAAGGATATATCAGTAATCAAGGATCACATTGCGCATATAAGTATTAAGTATATCACAATGTAAACAATGTATATCTGAATTTAGTAAAAAAAAGACAGCATCTCTGAATGTTTGAAAACTTACTAGCTCCTTTGCGAAGGCCATCTTTGGAGTTCTCAAAAATTGCTTTTGTCAAGAACCTCAATGCAGAGGTTATTGCACCCGATGCAGCAATGCCAGCAAAGAACGACTGAAAATTCCAAACACGACAAACATGAAGCAATTGCAGCATATTTTTTGTAACAGAACTTTTTGATCGAATGTCTTTAGCTAATGAATGAACTTCTGTTACTAAGCTTGTCTGAAAATTTATGACCTGGATGAATTCCGGGCACATCAAGGACAGGTCTCCAGTCATCCCACCCTGAACATGGCCGTCTGCAACGCCGAAAGCCGCGGCGATCAGACACAAACCAACGAACGGTGCAATCCCTCCTCTTCCTGAAGATGCAACGTCTAGCTGCCACACAACGAACGGATATAATTCAGGTTCAGAAGTACTCTCTTTTCTGACAGTGACAGATGATACTCAGCTAGGCTTACAACGATCACTCCAAATGAGCTCAGGAAGAACAGCATATATCTAGCCAAGTTGCGCATCCTAGTGTTGATCTTTGCCTCGTGATATGCGAACAGAGCTGTTGTGGTGAGGACGAATGGCTGATAAACGAGAGTGATCATTCTTGTAGGATGGTAATTCTGAATTCAGAAATCAGAATGCATCCATATATTCAGTCAGGTGTAAGTAACATCCTGTTCCACCAGTAATAATTTTAGGCAGATTTTGCAGTACCGGGAAGAGGTAAACATAGTAATCTTCGATTGTAACCATGCCATTGAACCCGAAGAGGCATCCATTTCCGAGGAGCCAGCAGATGAAAATTCCCCAATTCTTCCCCTATCATCAGCACCCCCAATGTTTCAGACAAAATTTTGAGAAGGTGAGGATGCTCTGAAACCTTCTGTAAGAATCTGTTTCAGTTTTGGTGGCTAGATGCAAACCTTGGTTTTGGCTAATCCATGGTCATCTTCATCACATCCTGTGATTAGCTCACTTTGATCGCCCTACAGATCAAGAAAGCAACCACTAAGAAGTACTCCAAAGATATCACACGAATAATACTACTTTCAGAGCAGTATCTCATAGAACTTCATGCTTCTGTAACTCTGTTCTTGTTTTCTGAACTGGTAGCAAGAACCAAGATACTAGATGCAGAACATCATGAGTTCATGACCAACGAAGAGACTGATTTGTCAAAAGTGGAGTAAGAACTTAACTGGGATCGCGCTGTAGGAGGAAGAGCTGCCCATCGGTCATAACAAGAGGGAGGAGACAAGAACTGAATACTGGAAGGGGAATTTTTGAAGGAACAAACAAAAGAAGAGAGGAAGAAGACGAGGATGCAAGGAGCCAAGGATTAAAGAAAGATTAAGATAATCTCCGCTTGGTTCGTTGATCCAACAAGATACTGTTTGCTTGCACTCCTAGCAGATCTAGTATCCATGGTGGACCATGGGGATTATTTTAAGATACACGTGGTTCACGCATCAACATCACCTGCATCAATATCAGCTGGGGTGATACTCTTCACAACTCGCAACGACTCTGACCCAGTGAAGAAAAAAAAAACAGCGACAGTTACGGCTAATTTGGAACGCAGGAAATTTGAAGGAGCAAGTTTAGTTCCTGTAAAAATCCTCCAAAATTCATTTGTTCTAGATGAGGCCTTACCAGGGTTTATATTTTCGACAAAAACCCGATTGAAAACTGCAAGATTTCGAGGTTTCGATATATTCGGGACGAAAGTAGGTTTTAAGTGGAATTAGTTTTCGAGAATTCAATTTTGCAACAGCAAAATTCAACCAAATTTTGTTAAAATTGGCCCAACAATATCATACCGCTGAGGATCAGAATCCAACACTCAATCAGAAAAGCGAGCCCTGGGCCTTGTTGATAAATAATAACGGCGAAATGTACCAATTACGCCAATGAAAGCTAGCAGAAATGGAGGAATGTCTGACATTTCCCAAAGCTTCTAGCAGATGAAATTGCCCAAAGACTTCTCTGAATCTCTCTGATGAACACATTGAGAAAGCAGATGAAGTTGCAGTGTTTCATGGAGAACAAAATCTGGCCCAGCTTAAGTGAATGCAAAGACAAGGCCTTTCCTGGGCCGGGATCCATCCAAACCCAGGCCCAACCAAACACGTAATCATCCAAAACAGGAACGCCTTTACTCGCCACAGCCGTCGGATCTGCGCATTAACACGGCTCAGATCCAACCGCTCATGAATGCGCATCGTCCGATCCCAACCGTCCATCCCAGATCGGACGGTTGATCCTCCCTCCGCCTAAACCACCCCCACAATTCTTAATTACTAATAACTTCCGTTTCCGTGACACCGTGACAGCGTGGACGTTCATAACCTTCCAATTAAAATCCAGACTCCCCTCGCATCGCATCGATCGCATCCGACGCGGCCGCCACCTCCCCTGACGCTGTCAGAGAGTGGGCCCCACGTTTCGCAACGTCTTAACCCCGTCACGTCACCTCTCTCTCTCTCTACCGTCTCGTCTCGCTTGCGTCGCGAGAGCTACCGTTACTCGCACTCTCCCCCACTTTGATCTGACAAAAATCCCAATCCCCTAGGCCGGACTCGCCGGAACCCTAGCCCGCCGCCGCCGCCGCCATGCCGCCCCGCCGGTACAAGGGGAGGGGGAGGGGGAGGGGGAGGGGGAGAGGGAGGGGGAAGGGGAGGGGCAGAGCCGCCGACGCGACGCCCGTAGAGGAGGTCGACGTGGAGGGCGCCAAGTCTGAAGAGGAGGAGGAGGAGGAGGCGGCCGCGGGGAGCGGGGGTGATACGGAGGCGGAGGACGCTAAGGAGGAGGGGGCGTCGGAGAGTGAGGGCGAGGCTATGGATGTGGAGGCCAAGGAGAGCGCCGACGAGAAGGAGGAGGAGGAGGCAGAGGCGGAGGCGGACGGGGATGAGGGTGAGGATAAGAGCGATGAGATGGACGCCGAAGCGGGTGCAGCGGAGGAGGAGGCGAAGGAGGAGGAGGAGTTGAAGGATGCTGAGGTCGAAGGGGAAGGCGCGGGGAGTGACTCCGAGCGCGGCGAAGCAGAGGAGGCGGACGGGGAGAACGAGGAGGAAGCCGCCGCGACGGACGGCGAGAAGGAAGAGGAAGCCGCCGAGACCGACGGCGAGGAGGAGGCGGAGGAGGAAGCCGCTGAGACCGCCGGCGAAAATGAAGACGAAGGCGCGGAATCCGATCCCGAAGGTGAGGCCTCCGACGCCGAGGAGAATGCTTCGGAGGAATCCCCTCCGTCCCCTCCGACCCGCGGACGCCGCCGCAAGCGCGCGGCTACCTCCGACCCTCCTCCTGAGGATGACGAAGAGGAGGGGACCCCTGCGCAGCCGCGCCGCCGCAAGCGCGCGGCTACTTCCGACCCTCCTCCTGAGGATGACGAAGAGGAGGGGACCCCTGCACCACCTCGCCGCCGGCGCCGGCGGAAGGCGGGGGACCGCGGCGACTCTCCCCCTCCTCTGCCCGACCACCTCCGGTGCCGCCGCAGTGATGGGAAGAAGTGGCGCTGCCAAAACCGAGCGCTCCCCACCGTTAGCTTCTGTGAGTATCACTACTCGAGGGCCAACAAGGGCAAAAAGCCACCGGCGGACGGAGAGGTCCTTGCTGTTGCTCTCCAGCGGCAGAAGAAGAACAAGAGGAAGGGTAGAAGGAATGTGAATGCATCACCAGCATCACCTCCGGCAGCCACTAGCGACGTGACTAGGGATCTCCCGAATGGACTGATGAGGATCTCTCCAGGGAGCAGCGAGCCTGCCGCATCGCTGCCATCGCCAGTGACAACAAAAGTTGGAGTGGATATTCCTGTTCCGACGCAGCGCTGCTACCGCTCGAAGAATGCTGAGCCGATGCCTGTTGGCCCTGTTAAGGTCACCTATCAAATATTGAATTGTCCCTGTTCGGTGTTTTGTTTTGCATATTTTTTATTTAGCCTAACTTGTGCTTATTTCTGATTTGTGTTGCATTAGGTTGTTCCTCGTGCAATGGGTATGTCAAAGGCAGGGCAAAAGACGTGTCACCGCTGCGGGATGAAGAAGGCCGCTCGTATTGTCCAGTGCAAAAACTGTGACAATAGGTACTTCTGCAACAGCTGCATCAACAAATGGTTAGTCTGTGGTTTGTTTATAATTGGTTTAGTTGTTCGCTTAGAAGGCTTGCATTTTGTTGATTGCTTCATTGTGATTAAGATATCCGTAGAGCTTAACATTTTAACCAAGTGTTGAGAACCTGTGTGATCCTTATTGACCAATTAGGAGAATGAATCGCCTGAGTTTCAGGATTTTGCTTTTACAGTAGTTGTTAAGAATGGACGGGCATGCATTTGCTTTAATTTATCAACTATAGTTACCAGGAATCTGGATCATGCATGCAATCCACGGAACATATTGAGATCCTGATTGCATGTTGCTGGTGATCTCACATTGCCATTTGGACACCGATTAATGGCAAAGGGAAAATTAATGGATATTTTGCTGAATCGGAAAAGCAAAGGATTGGGAGATGGAGCTATTCTTTTGGCACACTCTATTATTTCTCCTTGTTGCTTTTTCTGTTGCCTCTGCAGTTGCTTCTGGTTATTGCTATTGCTGCTGTCACCACCGCTGCTTGCAGCCTAGATGGTAGCAATGTTATTGATTAGTGAACACAAGACGGAGGGAGGAAGTGACAGTGAGGTGGATGGAGGGGGAAGCAAGAGAGATAATTGTAAGAGGCTCCAGGGCCGCTAGGGTTTGAATATGGGGAAGGGATATATAATTTGATCTTCTGATTTTATTGGGTCATTGCTTCCTAAAGAACATTACTAGCCTTCATTCCACAATTCTTAGCTATCTGTGTAATACGGAACCTTTCATTGACCTGGTCTTGTATTCCTGGTATTGTCCGATTTACTGCACACCTGATCTTGAGTAGTGTTCAAATTTAAATCCACATCTTGATATTTGTCCAGTTGACCCTGACAACTTTAGGAAATCACTTCTATTAAAAAAAATATTTGCATAATGTTGAGGTGAAGATGTCATCACCTGGTAGATCACGCACTAATCATAATAGTATGATATACTTATGATAAGGTTGTGTCCACTTTCCTTCTTGTTCACTTGTGCTTTCTGTACTATGAATAATCTGCTTCTTATTGTTCAGTGAACAACATTGAGGTGCATAGGATTTTTATAGTACATTTTATTTTACTCAATTTGAAACTTATAATCTAGCGTCAAACAACTCATGCTGGCATCAACACTAGGATGGCTAGTGCACGCTCACTGAATTTTCAATTTGGAAGGATTTGGAATGCTAAACAAAAAATTCACACTAACTTCAGTTCAATGTAATTTTGATTCATTGATGCATTGATTTATTTCTTTGCAGTAAAAATAAAATCATAATGTATTAATTTACCAATGAATTTATGCTGAAAGTATTCGTCTTGCTAGCTTGATTAGAGGTGAAAATCTTAAAACATATAATGAGATAACTAGATAGGTTTGCTAATTTCAATGGTTATGTTCCTTCGGAATTAGATATTGACCTACTCCCTCCGTTTCACAATGTAAGTCATTCTAGCATTTCCCACATTCATATTGATGTTAATGAATCTAGAATGTCTAGATTCATTAACATCAATATGAATGTGGGAAATGCTAGAATGACTTACATTGTGAAACGGAGGAAGTAGTATTTACAGAGATGGCAATATATAGCTATTATTAAACTTAGAACAGGTGTAAACAAAGAAACAAAATGCAGATTACTTCCAAATATTTCATTGTTATGGATATAGCCTTGGTTACGCTTGTTCTGCCAGATAATTAAATCAGGAGAAAAGTTTGTGATTTTGGCTCATCACTAGCAAATTGTTACGGACACAAAGCCATCAGAAGCAATTTCTTTTCTGGATCAACCAATGCTTGACTAGATCTTGTCATGCCCATGTATCTTGCTCCTGACTGTTCGTATCATGCAGGTATTCTGGGTTGTCCAAGAAGGATATTAAGACGCGCTGCCCAGTTTGCCGTGGTTCATGTGGTTGTAAACAATGCACCCTTGGTCAGACTAAGGGTGCCATTAGTAAGGTGATTATTTTACTAGATAACACCATGATGGCAATCTGGTGACATCCTTTCATTTGATCGCTGTGCTTATTTGTTGATGTGCACATCTTGAATCTTCAGGAATCATCAGGTGATCAAGACAAGCTGATAAGTATAAAGATTTGCAATCATCAATTGTACAAGCTTTTACCTGTAGAACTGAACCAGGAGCAGCTTGATGAATTAGAAATAGAAGCTAAAATACAAGGTTTGTTTTTTAATATTTGGTCTGCCACTTTCTTTTCAACTTAGTCAGCATAAATTAATCGCTCTACTTTTTTTTGCTCTTAATAGAAACAAAAATATCAGATGTCCGAGTCCAGGTAGCTGATGAGCAAAGCGGATCACTCGACTGGTAGGCTCTGGTCTCTATGATTCTCAGTTATATAGGAGCTAGTAGCATATATCCTAGTTACTTCTATCTTCTTGCTCTCAGCTTATGCTAATGTCAAACAATAACCTATCACTATGGTGGTATATATGTTAATCATCTTGTGGTAAGATTAACAAAAAAAAACTTTAAGTTAGTTTAGCATGTTCTGATGTACATGGATTAACAGATTAACTATTAAACAAACTAATCTATTATTACTTCGACGTTTCCTAATTTTAGGTTTGTTTGTTGTTTTATGATATTGTAATGGCATATTTTTACATTTATCTGCAATAATCTTAAACGAAAAGCATAGTTACTATTTAAGATATACACCTATGTAAAATCATATATCCATTGTGCTGATTTATGCTGGCTGTGTTACTTTTAAAAATAATTATCGTTCACTGCACTGTTATTGTATTGGAGTTTCTCATCTGGGCCCAGAGATCTTATGAACTTTTATTTGAACGCAGCAATAACTGTAAGCTCTCCGTGCACCGATTCCTGAGAAGCTGCCCAAGATGTCCTTTTAAGCTGTGCTTAAGTTGCTGTCAGAAGATACGTGACGGGAATATCTCAGCCGCCACCCCTGAAGACAAATTTAACCAACGGTTGCTTCAGCAAGAGTCAGCCCATGAGGATGGCAGCATTAGTTGCCCTTCCATCGAGTTAGGTGGTTGTGGCGACTCCTTGCTAAACCTGGTGTATGTGCCCCCATCTGACCAATCTGAAGAAGTCAGTTCAGGAGACGAGCTAGATGGTCCGGGCAATCATTCTGGAGTTAAAGATGCTGTTGCTGAGAGTAATGGAGGCCCTGACAGATTATCCGTTGGCCAGCAGGAGACCGTTTCCTCATAACTACAACTGCCGATGTTGCTGATGTCCCTTTCATCTTTGAGGTGAGTGTGAGAGTGTCATAACTGTGGAGACGCTGAGAGTAATGAGCATGGAATGTTCATTCTAAGGGCTGGAAAGGTGAGGGGTGTGCTCCGGATTCGTTAGACGGTAGATTGCCTGATTTAGCGTGATTATCGGCCCATATCGGCCATTGATTTTAGGTCTGTGACCTGTGGATATTCTCCGAGTAATTTTTTCCGTACCTGTTAAATCCTTGGTTTGGACATGGTGTACATAGGCCTAGGTCTTTGTTTACCCCTCCTTAGTTAAAATCTGGTTGGAGCTTGCATTGGCTGTACTGCTGTCATTTTGGTTGTTGGATGATTTCTATCTGCGTTTGTTATTGCAGATGGCGGAAAGTATCTGCTACTGCCATATGGATGATTTTTGGATAGCTTCAGGGTCCATCCTTCAAGGCGACCACAGAAACTCGCGGCTGAGGCGGTGACGACGGCATCGCTGCCGTCGCGGGCGCTGGCCCAATATGATGCTCAGGACCACGGCCATGGACCTTGGTCGGTTTTCTGTGTCCTCGTCGTTCGCATCATGGGACAGCAGGTCGCGAAATCGCCGAAAACGTGGCACCGTGGGTTGGGGTTGGTAGAAGTTGATCGAACGGGTCGTGGGATGGGCTGGGAAACCGCAGCCCAAGAAGGGAAGATGCGCGGCCAACGAACTGCAATGCATCGCATGTCCCTCCCTTCTGTGGGCCGCAGCGGCTTCACCGACGGACGCCGTCTGCAAGGCGATATATGGGCCGCCGGCAGCCACCGTGGGCCCGTGCCGGGGTAGTTGGCCAGTGGAATAAGTTCACCAGCCGTCCCTCAACTTTACGTCGAGTTTGTTGACATCCCCAAACCCAATACAGTAAATCTTCACCCCCTAACTATACAGAACCATGCAATTTAGGTCCCATAGCATTATAAATATCTGGTTTCGCTAACGTAGCATCCTAGTCAGCAAAAATAAAAATAAAAAATATGGGACCCACATGTAAGAGAGAAGGAAAAAAAATGTGGACCCACAGTGTCAATGGTCCTTTTTTTTTTCCCCACCACTCGTGCGAGGTCCTCAAGCCGCAGCGGCGACGGCTGGAGCGACAACGATGTGGCACCGGCTATGGAGTGGTGACGAGGCGGGCTCGGCCGGCCTGTGGGGCGACGAGGTAACACCAGGCTTAGGGCATGCTCGTCGCCCGTCCTCCTGCCGCCCCAGCGCCTTGCTTCGTGTTTTAGCTCCTCGTCGACGTTAGCGAGCTCGAGCCACAATGGCGTCAGCGGCAGTGCGGGTTGGAGGAGGTAGCCTCAGATACGGGAGGGAGAGGGAGGAAGGCAGCCGGCCGCGCCAGCGGGAGAGGGGGAGAGGAGGCCGGTGAGCCTGGGAGGGAGAGAGGTGTCCGACATCCAGTAGCTCTCGGTCAGGGCTAGAGTACGAGTCCATGCCTAGTCGGAGCGCTGCTTCTGCTTGATTCGATTCGATTCGTTTCTCTTCTCTTCTCGCTCTCGGCGGCGGTGGTGAGTGCCTGCCCCGGTACCCCTTGGTGTCGAGCTCACGTCGCTTGCCACCCCTCTCCTCCCCAGCACAAAAGTAGCAGCGGCAGCCGCCGGGCGAGCGCGGCGGTAGATGAGGTGGAGGCGGCCTCTCCCCTCTGCCATCTCCCGCCAGCTCGAGCAACGGCGATGGCCGGAGTAGACCGGTGTAGCTCGCCAGTCGCCGATCTGCCCGCCGCCGATATGCCCCTTCTGCTCCGCCCGCCCACCGCCCGCCGCCTGTTCGATTGAAGAAAAGAGAAGCGAAGAGCAAAAAGAAAAGAAAGGAGAAAAGAGAAGAACAAAGAACATGGGTCCCACTTTTTTTTCTTCTCGCTCTTACATGTGGGTTTTTTTTATTAGGATGCCACGTCAGCAAAACCATGTGTCTATACTACTATAGGACCTAAATTGGACGGTTTTGTATAGTTTAGGAGTGAAGATTTGTAGTATTGAGGATAAGGGATGTCAAACAAACTTGGTGTAAAGTTGAGGGATGGTAGGTGAACTTATTCCTTGGCCAGTTGCTTCTAGCCTTAGTCACTTTAAACCCCTTATATTGATGCTTATTTTAAATTGTGTCCTGTTGTAATACCATATATAATGTATCCCTCAAGGTACAATATTGAAGTACTTGAGGTCCCAAGATAGCATTGTGGCCGGTTTCAACTAACGTGACGAGTTGAATATGATCAATCCAGCTAAGTCATCATGGACCCATATATGGCCCGGTCTTCTTCCTCCTCTCTCTCATCTTCTCTTCCCTATCTCTCTCCAGGCCTCCAAGGGGGTCGGCGCATGGCAAGCAGAGGGGAGAAATTCGACATATGAGGCCTTACAGCGTTGGCAACTACTGCTGCGATGGCGATGGCACGATGATGACCGAGGCAAAGGTATTGTTGATATCCCCTACGCCGCTACCAACACCACCACTCTTTGGAGGTGGTGAAGAGAGCTTGTACATATTCGTAGTACAAGAACCTATCACATCTCATATTATATTTACTTTTTTTTATGAAGAGAGTACACTGTACGGAGTAAGTTTGTTGGGGTTTACATTTTAATAAAACACACCAAAATGCTTATATTTTGTGGTCAAAATAATCATTAGAAAACTTATAAAAATACTTATAAAAATGTTTATATTGCGGGCAATCCTGGCAAATATTGCAATACTAGTACTAGCAACTTAAGGCAAACATTAGAAGCAAGATCGAACACGGCTTCTTCTGTTGTGCTGACAACTGATAAGGTACTCCAAGCACCAAGCTGCTACTATCAACCTGGGCACACCCTGATTAACAGCCGCCTCATCTGCAACGATGAGACGCAGAGAGAGAGATAAGATAACCCCACAAAAAATGGCTTCGATGCTGCACAAAAAAGACGAGGGCCCGGTTCCCGAATCCCTACGCCGTCCGGTCGCCGGGAAAAGTTTGGGAAAAGCGAAGCGGAGGAGGAGCCGAGGCGCGGCCCGCACACTGGCTGGCTGACCGGCTAGAGGACAGAGACACGCAGGCACGCAGACGTGACGACTACTACCTACCACGTGAGCCGCTGCTGCGCCCAACCCCAAAAAGCCCCTCGCCTCGTCCAGCTAAATAGGGTTGGTTTGGTTTGGTTCCTGGCCTAAATAGGCCTTACCAAATTTTGTCAATACCAAATTTTGGTAAATTTTAACATGACTTATTTTGGTAAGATAAAGTTATGTTTGAATTGAAGCTAAAATAGCCTAAGTTCACTATTGAAATGGTCTATTTTTTAAGCATGCCAAAATTTGGCTTCAAATCAAATAGACACTAAACACTATTAAAATTATCAAATATTGGTAAGCCTAATTTAGAACTCAAACCAAACCGGCCCATAATACGATTTATCGCCACGTCTTTGGCTCACATCTGCAGCCTCTGGTCGGTTTAAAAGTTTAGAATTGAGACAGATTGATCTGATCTCTATAGTTGCCTATGCCACACCAAAAACTTCGAATGAGAGCCGTTCTAACTTCTAACGATTTAGAGAGTTAGCTCACACACGCAAAAACCACCGTGATTTAGAGACGCATAAACACTGCCAAATCACATCTCACTCTCATAGCATCCGATGCCACGTCTGCTAATCCGCAGGCTCACTAATACTATGCAACAGAAGCTACTAATTAACTAACAACGCCTACAAAATTAAACACTATCGATTATCGACAAGGCTTAGGTTCTTAAATTAATCAGTTGCCACCCTTAATTTACAAGAACACATCGAAGACTACGAGGCAGCCGAGCAGCAGGCTGACGACGACACCGGCGCCGCCGCCGCGGAGGACGGTGGCGGCGGCGGACGAGCTGGTGGCGCTGGCGCGCTCGAACTGCAGCGAGTCGACGGCGAGCGGCATGTTCTCCTGGTCCGGGCTGCACCGCGGCGGCGCGCCGCCGGCCGCCGCCGACTCGGTGGGGCGCGCGCTGTAGAGCATGGCGCGCAGCACGGCGGACACGGTGGGGATGTACACCGTCTTGTTCTTGGCCAGCAGCCACGTCAGCCCCATCAGCTGGCAGTCGCGCCCCAGCATCCGCCGCGCCCGGTCGCCGCCGGCGACCTCCCGGCTCACGTTCCCCTTCAGCTGCACCACCACAAGAACACAGGTGAGACGAAGAAGAAACTGCATTTAATGTGCTCCATGCAAGCAACGTTCTTGCAATGAAGGATTTGTTGCCAAGTTGGTAGGCTCTAAATGCTCCCCATGCACACCAACTTGTTCATGCAAGATCATGCAATGCATTCTCTCGAGCTTGGGAGTACAGAGTACTACGTTGCCGCAATCGCAACAAAAGCTTTGAAGTACACTACAGCTATGGATGCAGCTGAGCAATGCCAAAAGATTATAGCTAATCCTAACGAGCGGATGCTTGTCAAATGACAAAGGGGAGAGTTCTACAGTACGGCTCACTCATTAAGATGCCAATTAGGATGTCCGACTTGCTGTTTTGAGGGACAACCTCTCCACAATTAATAATGAACTACTTCTCTTCCGATGTTGCAAATCACAATGTGGTGGTTTACTGACTAAAGGATATTCAGTTATTCATCATTCAAAAGGTACTGGCTTATGTCTAAAAGTAACATTGATACTAATCTTGGTTCTTCCCTCCCATGTCCAACACTATAACGAATGGTCATGTAAATTGCAATTAACTGGCAATGGTAACTAGTGCTGGGTGTTATTCCACACGGTGCTTTCACAAAAGGCAGTATACTTCAATCAAGTAGCTAATGATTAGTGATGAGCTCAAGAACAAGCAGCAAGCCCATCTGTGCATATGAAGCAATAATGCGGTTAGAAAGGGGCTTGCTTTGTAGAAAGGGGATCTCCTGAATGTCAATTGGGCTCTTTCTGCTAACCCAAAAGAAAGCATGTTAAAGGCATAGCAAGAAAAAGGTACTCTACTATACTGATTTGGTTTACCTAAGATCACAAGACCCAACTACTACTAATGACAACACTTGTCAAAGCTATTAGTACCTCTAATCACAAATTAAACTATGGAGAGAGAGAGAGAGAGAGAGAGAGTAGCAAAAGGGAAAAGAACTAGTAAAAAAAATGTAGAATAGAACCAAGAAAAACAGCAATAATAATGAATCCATCAAAGCAAGAAATGGAGTAGTACTAGTACAATCGAACATGAAAAGGCTAAAGAAATCGAAGATTTGGAGGGGAGAAGATGAGATGAGTTGAGACAATGGCGCGACATAGGCCATTGTAGGGGAAAGCAAGCAAGAAAGGGGAGAACCTTTTGCAGGGACTGGACGCAGCGGGAGCAGCCGGCGTAGGAGGCGTTGCGGCAGCTCTTCTCCAGCTCCTTCACCGCGGCGGTCGGCGTGGCGTTCTTGGCCGCCGCGGCGCCGCCGCCGCCGACGGCGAACGCGGCGGGGCAGCGGAGCGAGCCGATCTGGTGGAGCCGGATGCCGCAGAAGCAGAGCACGGTGTCGCACGTAGCGTTCGGGCGGGGCAGCGCCACCCCGCGCCGCTCGAGCGCGGACCCCAGCGCGTCCACGCACCGCTGGTTGTCGTAGGGCACCATGGGCTCGTCCTCCCCGCCGTCGAGGCCCTCCCCGGCGAGCGCCGGGGCCGGGGCCGGCACGGACAGCGCGGTGCGCGCGTGCGCCGCGAACAGCCAGGCGGCGAGGACGGGGCAGCACCTCCCGCGGTCGAGCGAGCCGGGCCCGCCCCCCGCGCCGCACGCCGCGGCCACGCCGCCGAACAGCTCCGCGGAGAGGTCGAGGTGGCAGGGCGGGGACGTGGAGCCGCCCGAGGAGGTGTTGGCCGGGGACTGCGCCTGCGAGAGCGGGTACGACGGCACGTCGGTGGCGGCCGAGGGCGCGAGCAGCAGCGCGAGCAGGAGCGCGGCGGCGACGTGCGCCGACATGGCCGGCGGCGAGGTGGGGGTGGTGGTGGTGGTGGGGAAGCTAGAGCTGAGCGGAGTAGGAGTAGAGTGTGGGGATTGGGGAGTGGGTGTTTTATATGAGCCGTAGGGTTGGTATGTTTGCCTTGCTGTTCCAGGGTTTCTTGGGCTTTGAGATAACCAAAAGAATATCACAAGATTAACAAACCCCTCCTGGAGTGCGGACTAGTGTACGCCGCATTTTGGTTTTTGTTGTAGTTGTAGTTGTTGTTGTTTTTGGTTTGGTGTACTTTCAACGACCGTAGAACATGGGTGTAAAAACGTAGACAGGAAAAACCACAATAATAATAAAGTAAGAATATAGGTGTAAAACGGAGTATTGAAAAATTCAAAAATTCTTTAAATAAATTGTAAAATATGTGTTCGCACATGGCAAATGAAAACGTAGGAGATGAAATAAAGATGTTGGAGAGGATGCAGAATTTCCATTTTAGGCTTCGTTTTTTTCATGGTGAGGGATAAATATTTTTGGTGCACGTGAAATGAGAAGATTCATTAGCACATAATTAGTTAAATATTAGCTATTATAAATTTGAAAATTAGATTTATTTGATTTTATTAAACAACTTCTATATATTTTTTTGAAAAAAATAGTATCATTTAACAGTTTGAAAGAGAAAGTTTAAACTCAATAAAAGAACACAGCCGGTATAAGCCAGATGAAACGAATTTTTCCAATGATTTTTCTTAGGATCAAATCCTATGGAACGAAGGTGCTATAGTCATCAAATCTAAAGAAATCCAAAACCTACATTTTTTTCATTGGATTTTCTTCTAATCCAAATGAGCCCTTAGGTGAGATTCTTCCCACGTATCAAACAACTGATTTTCTTATGATATATTCGGTTTTCTTTACGGCTCGGATTGCATCAAGATTCATCCATATTTCAACCGGTAGTGATTGTTTTCTTATCTTCTGGACTCAATCCCATAAACTTGTCGTGACTAACAATGCACCTCCATCTATGTCACACACGTCATCTCCCTCCACCTTGTCATGGCCACACCAACACATGAGATATCCACAGCCAGCACCCTCTTTGCTAATGTCCTCCTACTCATACTCCTCTGCACTCTACGTTGCCTTTCTTCATGAACTCTAGGTGAGTTTTCACAGGTTCTGCCTCTTTTTCTCCGAGGCTGACGTTGCTTTTCTTTGTGAACTCCAGGTGCATTTTCATAGGTCCCGTCTCTCTTCTTCGGTGGTAGTTCGCACCACGAGAATTACCGCAAGCCCTACCTCTTAATTACGTAGCCTTCTTTGCCCTTGCCAATATTCTTGCAGCTTCGGTAGTGTTGTCTCTGCCTTACATATGCCTGTCTCCTACACCCACCGCTGGTACTCCACCACGTGGACCTTCCTTTATAACAATCCCCCACTCACACACATAGTTTTGGGGGAAAACAAATCTTGGACACCCTTTTCTAGAGCATGAGAATTGATCAACCTTAAGATTATATGCGTGTGTTATAGAAGGGAAAAATCACAAAAGTTGAAACTGGGATTGATCTGACACTGTCAAAGTGGTTCATACTGCCATTGCTACATGATGCTAAGTTTAAGGGAATGTTTTATATCCGAGGAAGACGAGACACTAATTTAATGTTAGAAAAAATTCAGAAAGACACGGGTGAAATCGCATTATCATTTGGGCGAGTTTTAGAGGATTGATTTGACACTGGTCTGTGGGTCAAATGATTGATACTACTATCTGTGCCGTTTGATTTAACACTTGATTTGATGAGATTCGATAAAATGCCATCTATTTCATTGCCATCTCTATTTTTATACTTTGAAGGGCTTAAGTTATTTATTGGCACAAAACTAACCGCGTGAAAGGACTATTTTGTCCCTAACTCTAGAGGTCTCTCTTATGTCAATTTGTTTGTCGCTCTATGAGCTCGCTGACGTCGAGGCCACCACACGCCTAAGCTTGTCATCCTAGATTTCCACCCCTTCCCCTCTGGTCCCTCTTCCCTCCATCCCCCTCTCCTGTGCTCCACCATTCTCATTAGGCCCTTCTAGTATAAGAAAAGGAGAAGCGACAGTGACAATGGATGCACCTGCATCCTTAACCCCAAGGTAAATTATCCATCGTGAAGCAATTGGTAGGTCGGTTTCTCCTTGGCACCAATGAGCTCTTAATAAGAAAAATTGAGTAAGATAAGAGAGTGCTCTAGGGGCAAGAGCAAAATACTCCCTCTGTCTTATAGTCCAACGAATTCGGATATGATACATGTTTGTATTCATTGTATTATGTAGTGTACTATTCGATTTTAAGTTGCTATATTATATGATGGATGGAGTAGTTCTTTCACATGGCTATTTTAATGTGACAAATTATAGAGGTAGCAACGGAATATGTGATATTTTATCAATTGTAATATAGATGGTGGCATTTTATTGAAGGCCAACAAATCGATTGGCAAATCGATAATTTTCTCGATTCTCATTTGTGCCATTGTACGCGTGATTATACAGTTGGGTCAAGATCGAGATGTTTGTCCCGTACGGCTGGCCGAACAGAACCCACAACCAGCTGTGCCAGGTACACCCCATCATTTCTATCCACGAAACAAGTACCCCATGCTGTTGCAGCTTAGCCACTACATGTGGGCCCCACAATCTGGCTGTCATTTCAAAATTACTCCTATTACAATGTGCTACGCTACTTAAACGGTGAAAGATTTTGAAGCCCAAAGCCACATTTGACATCTTTTACACGGATCAGAAACTCATGATGGATTATTTTGGCAGCTTGGGGGCACCACCAGAGGCAGACAATACTACCTGATCCCTGATTTCCTGCGGCGACCAGTGATGGATCGCCCTTAAACAATTCCTTGCTCTCTTTTTTTTTTCTGATATAGATGGGCCATTGGGAGGCAATGCATGCTCAACAATAGCTACAGTAGTACCCAAATTGAACTAACCAACGTTGAACGATCAGGGAAGGAGGTAGTAATAGTATTTTAGATCTCTTGGAAACATAATAGTAGAAAAAAAATACAGAATTACAAATCACGGTTTATCGAATCCTTGGGACTGACAACAACACAAGAATGATAGAAATATGTTGTGTTTGGATGGTTCAAAAGAACACAAGAATGGGGAAAAAAAAACATGAATCCTTGAGAGTAAGGGCTCTTTGGAACACATGAGTCTCAAAACACAAGAATGAAAAAAAAAACAGGATTGAGAGTGCCATGGCCCTTGAAATCCAATAGATTGAAAAAATACAAAAAGAAAACTTCAAGAATAATCATTTTGATGGATCACATGAAAAACACACGAATTAGAAAAGAGATAAACACATGATTTTTTTAAGAGATTAGACCTCATGTCAAAATTCCTCTAAAATTACTACGTTTTGAGCCAGTCCAAATAAATTCCGTAAGATTTTTGGATTACTATCCATTTAATCCAAAGGACCAGGTAGGAAAATTTTCTATAGAATTGAATTCCTCCAAAATTCCTTAAAAAATTCTCTATTCCAAAGGAGCCCTAAAGGAATTTAGAGAGAGAGACACAAGACAAGTTTCTCATGAGGTTAGACCTCAGGTTAGATATCCTCTAAAAATTCCTATGAATCGAAGCAATCCATAGGATTTCAGGAGGGTCATTCCTTTGTTCCAAATGAGTATTCTATTAGAATCCTCCAAAATCCCTTAAAAATCCTTCCTTCTAAAGGAGCCCTTAAAGATGGCCACAGCAAAGATAATTCTTGGATTGGTTCATTGTCATTCATAACCTTACTAATTTTTTTAGCAATGGCGAGAATTGATCATTATTAAGATGTTTGACCAACAACTGGCAAAGCATTGTTTGGTGTGCTATCAAGGTTGCATTTTGGACATTCAACTTAATCAAGTAACTGCAATGCCATTTTTTTAAAAAATAAACCAAACAGATGACAAACATTTTGGCATTACCTTTTTTTTTTGAACTGGTTGAGTTTCGCTACAAACCAGACATGCCTAGTTTGGACAGTCCTTATTCCTGAAAAAAATCTACAAAGTCCCTGAAATTCCGGATGCATATACTTATAGAGTTAATCCCTTGTGTACCCATGAAAACTTGCCTAATCTCTTCTATACCCTCCAATTTTACACGATCTCCTCTGTACCCCCGAATTTTCACTTTGATCCCTTCCATGCCCCTCCCGTTAGGTTTTCTTCATTTTGCAGTGATGTGTGGTTGCAAATGTCCATAATGCCCTTGTAGATGGAGGAGCAACAGCAGGTAGATTGGAAAAGAACTAGAATATGTTGACCGCACATAATATGTATTTTATGAGACTAATAATGAGTTTAAAACTTTTATTGTGGTATTGGAAAAAAATGCAATCCATCGAACGATTTGTTTTTTTAAAAAATAATAGGTTGGAAAATCAAAGTGACATCAGTTTGCTCTGTAAAAAAAATTAGTACACTCAACAAGAATGTGGACAAAGGAGAAAATCTGTGAAACAAAATAATCTGGATCAATAAGAGCATCATAGATCATCAATCAAAATAGTAGCAACCATACAGAGCACTTCATATCAATTTTATTTTCATCATCTATACAGAGCACTTCATATCAATTTTATTTTCATCATCCATACAGAACAGCTCATATGATGCACATACCACAATTTCATTTCCATACCCAATAGTGTAGGAACCAAACCAACTTTCCACTCCATACACAAATGTTGCAAATGACAGATCAAATATGTTAAACACTTTGTAAGGCATCACAACAGCAAACAACAATGAAAATTGCAAGAAGAAGAAATGAAAATTGCTGCTACTCCTACCAGTAGGGCCGCGCTAGGTGGCGCAGTGACGAGAGGGTATCGGACTTTGGCCGCACGGCAGGAGGACGGTGGCCGGCGGTGCCTGCGACAGGAGGCCGGCGGCGCGCCACCGCGCGACGGGAGGGCGGGGGTCGGCAACGCGCCACCGCGCGATGGGATGGCGGGGGCCGGCGGCGCCCCATCGCACATGGGAGGGCGGGAGCCGGCGGCACCCCACCGCGCGACGGGAGGGTGGCGGCCGGCGGCGCCCGCACACAGGAGGGCGGGAGCCGACGGCGCCCCACCGCGCGACGAGAGGGTAGCGGCCGGCGGCGCGCGCGACGGGAGGGCGGGAGTCGGCGGCGCCCCACCGCGCGACGGGAGGGTGGCAGCCGGTGGCACGGCTGCATGATTGGAGACTGGCGGCGTGCGGAGGATGGGGGGAGAAGAGAAGGGGATTCGATCTGTTTACCTAGGGTTGGCTAGCAGGGGCATTTTAGTATTTTTTTGAAAATACTGACAATGTAACTCACAGGTCACGCTACAGATCAAACGGAAACCTAACGGGATGGGTATGGAGGGGATCAAAGCGAAAATTCGGGGGTACACAGGAGATCGAGTAAAATTGTAAGGTATAGAAGAGATTAGGTAAGTTTTCATGGGTATACAAGGTATTTTCTCATACTTATACTACCCCATCTATCTATCAAGATTCAGATACGAGAGAGATGCCACAAGCCTTCAAGTAGGCACACTGATGAGTGAGTACTCCCTCCATCGTAAAATAAATTTATTTTTCACCTCTTCCACGTATATGATATATCAATATAAAAGGGAAAAAAACTAAATGCCAATAAAATTGTCTCTAACTTTATTAGTTCCAATGCATTTATCCTCTAATTTTATAAACTTGGATACAATGTATTTTACAACAATAAAATAAGTAAAAAAAAAGATTGAGCGAGTAGGTCACAGGCTCACAGTTTCAGAATTCAGATGTGGGAAGCGGACGAGCCTTTTCGGCTTGGGTGGGGTGGGGGGGGGGGGTGGGGGGGGGGGGGTCTTTACCAACCTCTTCACGTGAACCGGCGAACGGGGGCGTTGGGCTCAGTGGCTCTCTGCACCTGGAGGACAGCGACGCTGTCTGTGCCTGTGCCTCCTCTCACTGCACTAAATCCTGCTCCTAATCCTATCACTAATGTTATATTAATACTACTGGGAGTAATAATAATCTGCCACTGTCAAAAACTTACTACTTGCTTGATGCAGCAAAGAAATCCATTATCAGAAGAGATGCCCATGGCATGGTAGCCTTCAGCAAAGGAAGGTGAGATTGGATAGATATCATGGATAGCTTCACACTGGCAGCGCAGCAGCATGGCTGCCATTGTTCTGTTGCTACTCGCATACAGTAAGCCTGATGATGGCAGAGGTTCTGAGTTGTGTGTCTTCTTGTGCGTGTGTTTTGTCCATTATAGAGAGCGAGAGAATACAGAGAAAGGAAGCCCCAAAAAACTGTTGTAGTATGTGCAATTGTGCCTACGGCAAAGAGATACGGGTCAAGCTTTTGCCTCCAAAGCCTTTCTCATCACAGGGACCACATATACCAGACAGTGAATAACATCCAAAAGTTCAGAAACTTTCTCATCTTTTCTTGGAAGCAATTAAAGTCCAGCCAGGTTGCTGTTGGAAAGAAGAGTTTTTTTAAAAAAAAATAATTAAGGAGGCCAGATTGTTGTGTTTTTTGAAATGAGAGTTACAGAGCCAATAATAACTGTATGATTAGAACAGCACAAATCCTTGTGGGGATCTACCCTTTTTGAGATGTGAGTTGGCCCTTGACACTTTGCAGCTTCTTTATCAGAGCCTTTTCTCTCAGTATGCTTGTGAGTAGGGAATATACATGTCAACTGTCAAGGACCCCCTCCTGTCTTTGATCTTGATGCATAATAATACAGAACTGTTACAGATTTCAAAGCCCTATAAGAAAGGATTAGCAGGACACTGAAATATTCTATCACAGGCCCCAAATGCAAATGCAAGCCTAGCTTTAGCTGCACCACAGAAAGGAGTGGCACCAGGCATGTGTGTTTGTTTGTCACCTAGCTGTGGTTTTGCTCTGTTTAGTCTTTGTCATGGGGCTCCAAACCCTTGTCTCTAGCAGCATGGGAATAAGCAGAGGGCTCTGGATTATGGAGTTGTTAATGCTGTGTGTGTATGTGTGTTAGGTGAATGCAGGGAGGATGGTGACAAGGGTGATATGCCCTAGAAGCCCGGGCTTGGAGAAATTTGATGAGCATATGTATCCTATGTTCAGTGATAAAGGCATCTGTTTAAAAAGAAATAACAGAGGTGGTCCATGAAAGTATCACTGTTATAATTTGGATTGTTTGGGTTTGGACGTGCACATTTTGATTGGAGAGTTGCTTCATTGGTTAGATCAATATCTGGGATTGGTCATTAGTCTGGCAACAAGAGGAAAATGGACAAAACTTGTTGCCAGAAACTGCATCTTGCTTTTCTTTCTTCTGGAGAGAAGTTGCAGGGTGTATCTATAACAAGACCATCTTGTAGAGTTACCCCTGTTACTTTATTTACTACTAATAAGGAGCAAACTGCCTTTGTTTATGTCTGATCAGATGCCACAGGTCTGTAACAACAAATAAACAATTTGTTGCTTGACTTGATGTCTCTACTGAGTTTGTTTCGTTGATCGCGACGTCGTTGTTCATCAGTTCTGCAGAGGTTAACAGCAGTTGCAGTGCTAGTAGAATGCTGTAGATCCACCAGATGATCCAGTCTCACTGATTGAACACCACCAGATACCCTTCTCACGGATTGAACACCACTGGATATAATTGTCTACTAGTATCATTCAGAACATCAGTCACGTGGTCTGTTATTATACTAATTATTACTCGCAACATCCCCTAGCTAATTTGCTAATCCGTGTATCAGTCTATCATACGGCTATCTTGAATACAATAATGACTGGAGCAATGGAAAACAAATCAGTATCTTAAGGAAGGCATCTTGAATTTGGTGGAGTTTATAGTTTTCATTGCTCTCTTGAGACATTCAACGAGATAAGCAAGACACGAGATGCAATACATTTGCGTAGTAAATATGGCTAGTTTCTGACTTTTGTTTGATGACAGGTTGGAACTCTGAATCGCAAAGACATGGATAACTGATACCACAAGCTCGTGGTCTCATCGCAGAACAAACCAGCCTGGTCAAGTATAATTTGGTCAGTTCAGCAATACAAAAGATATCCATAGCCGGGGACCGGAGTGTACTTGTTTGTATGTGTATACACTATATGGTAATAAATCGATATGTATCGTATGTAGAGCGCCAGTGAATTGAAAGCTAAACAGTGGGTAATAAAAGTACTCCCTTTGTATAGCAATTATTGGATGAGTATAATAATTATTGGATGAGATATAATCCAGTATTACGAATCACTCACTATAAAACGTGAAAACTTGCGAAGTTGCAGGGGGTTTGGGCATGACCACCATGGCTATTTGTACCCATTTTTTTTATTGAGCGATGCTCGGTGCTCTCTACTAATAGTATTATACTACTCCCTCCGGGTTGATAGTACTTGTCGTTTTGGACAAGGGTGCGGTCTTCAAAAAGTAACTTTGACACGGTTTTGCTATATTTGTGTCGCCACAAAATTTCATCGATTACAGTCGATTTTTCAGCCCTCTGATTTGCTTTAGATTAGCGCTGGATATTATGATTTGCGTATGCGTTGTTTGAGATCTGCGCCCGACTACCTGCAATCTATCATCAATGTATTACTGATCCAGAGTAAACACAAAGTAACGTGTTCAACTGATCGATGTATTACTGCCCAAGGTCCTATCATTAACGTGTTCAACTGAGCAAACAGGCAACTTTATTGTTGTAATTATATATTTATACAAATTTACATAGCAGTTACACCCCATTTATATATGTAATTTTGAACTTACATATGTAATTTTAGGACTTACATATGTAATTTTGAGACTTACATTATAAATACACTAAAATTACATATGTAATTTAGGGACTTACAATGTAAATACATGCTGACTATATTTTGGTGAAAAATATGGCGCCATAAATATAGTTACTCCCCTTTAACAACTATTTTCTATTATAATATATATAGAAATGTCAACAAATATATGCTTTAATTGAAGTACTTTTTAAGAGTAGTCTACACATATGATTTTCATATTTTTAAGATGAATATTTTAGAAATTATTTGTAGTCAAAGATTTTAAAGTTTGACTTTACACTTGTCCAAAACGACTAATATTATCAGCCCAGAGGGAGTACCAATATTATTAGAGGTAAATTAGTAATTTATTAATATAATAATTAGGAGTTACTTTGTCATTATGTTTTTTCCCTGGCTAAATTGATATACGATCATCCATTAAGCTGGCATAGCTCATATTTTATAAAAAGAAAAAAAAAGAGAGAAAATAGTTTGTCATTACTAAATGATGATTATACAGTCTGCACCTTTTTTCTTGACAATACTACTCCTCCATGTTACTACTATCGTTAACTAACTGTAGTGAGGTTCTCTTTTATTAAATGTCAGGACCTAACCTAAACTGAAAGGCTGGCCTACTTTTAATCAGCTCGGCAAATACCAGCTTTCCCGGCCGCCGGCGACCAAAGCCTGAGTCGATGATATCCTCAATCCTCACTGGACTGACTCAACCTGCGGTGTAGTGGATCCTGCTAATCCTACAGGACACAGACCTTTTGGGGGCACCTTTTCTCACTTCTTCGTCCTCCGGCAGCCGCAGCGAAAGCACAGGTGAACCATGGAAAGAGAGCTGAAGCTGAAGCCCGAAAGGACACCGTCCTCGGTCCTCCAGCCCAATCATTCAGCCCTGCAGAGAGTTTAACAACGGCTAATATAATGATACGCCATTTATAAATGTCTATCATCACTCGCAGAAGTTGATTCACATCAAGATTGCAGCAGCATAGCAGGAAGTAAAATTCTGTATAATCTGCAACGTAATTCTGCTCGTTATCAATATTCGGTTGCTACATCTAACAGGGTTTGTTTCTCGATAAGAGATTTTAGCACAAGGAATTTTGGTGGCTTACTCCACCAAGGCGCTGGACAAAATTTTAGCACTGAAGGTTGTCAAATGTGAAACCCAATGCCGTAAGTTGCAGGTAGAGAGGTTGTTTAAAAAAAAAGAGAGAGAACATAACATGACATAAGGCATTAGTATAGATTGCTTGGTTTGCGAACTTCTGTCCCATGGTGTCATCACCTTTCTCTGCTGTATATATGCATATTCTGTCAAGGAGAGAGATTGCACAGGTTAGATTGTTGATTTTGCTGAATAACCAAGCGGCTAATTTCAGTTTAGCATGGATACTGAGGCATGAAACGAGGAAAGGATAGTATAAAGCACGGTCAGGTTGCTAACGAGGCTATATGCCAGCATCAAGTTAATGACCGTTGCCAAGCGTACACATGCCGTGACAGCATATATGCAGCGGAGATCCAAGTGGATTCTCCAACTGCTCCTGGCCAACCAGTCCACCACAAAAGATGGGACACCCTCCCCCCTCCTTTTTTTGGTATAATTGAGACGGTATCCCAACTTCTTATCATAAAGAATAGTCACCTAATCAGTTGGAGGTTAATTTAGAAATATTGCTCTGAATGTACTTGCTATAACCCACTGGGGTACTGATCACTAAAGAAGTTCTCTTTTTTATTCCCTAAAAAATAAGCCATATTTCCCATGATAATGTTGAAGGCTGGTTATCATCATGTGTATTATTCTTTTAACACAAGTACAGAACAAGTATGCCAAAAAAATTTCAAGAGAGGAAGACAAACTTAAAAGAAACGGTGACTTGTTTGCACAAATGTACTTAAAAGAAACGATGACTTGTTTGCACAAATGCACAGTACCTGAGGCTCGTAGATTTGGCACTTGAAAGCATGAACTTGTTTATGAGAAAAAATCAACTGGTTGCTTTATATCCTTGTCTAGTAGTAGAGTCTTCAACGTGTGCATGATATCAAAGCCTGGGTCTAGCTTGCGTTGCCACCCCTACAAAAGAATTAATAGCCTTGTATAAATAAGCATGATGTGTTTCTTTCCGTAGGCACATTCAGGTCTTAGGAAGCAATGGATATCAGATTAGCCTGTAACATAGAAAAAGGTGGTTGCTAAGTGCTAACCACACCCACTAGTAAGTAATATTTCCCTAGATTAGTTTATCTGAGCATCCTTTTGTAGAGATATATAATCCAATAAATGACGTATGGTAAATATTTTATAGATTTCAAACATTACAATGTATAAGTTTACCTCAAGAACCAGAATCGTGACCATTACAGTACAGATATTCCCATCAATGTTGACTTTGTGGCGCCGAACTGTGTCAAGCAGTTGATGCATGCATTCAACAGGATGGAAAATGTCCCCTTCAGGCGTTCCCCAGAACGAAAATGTCTTATCCAATTCCTACCAATAAAAGAAATATAATTATTATGCAAACAAATATGTACCTAAATGACAATAATAGTTTAGAAATCAACATGCAATAGCCAAAGGCTGGTAATACAATCTATAGTTCTATACCCCTTCCGTTCTTCCTCCAATTTTTAATATATGACGCTGTTGACTTTTGAACATACGTTTGACCGTTCGTCTTATTAAAAAAATGTAATTACCATTTATTTTGTTGTGGTTTGTTTTATCATTAAAGATACTTTAAGTGTGACTTATACTTTTGCATATTTGCACAAAAAAATTGAGTAAGGCGAATGGTCAAACCTATGTCTAAAAGTTAACATCATACATTAAAAATTGGAGGGAGTATTTATTTGACATTACTGACTTTTCAAGTTTGGATGAAACTTTGACCATTACATTTTGGAACTTCGTATCGATATGTAATAATAATAATTCCTACAGATAAAACAAAAAAATACATCTCCTTTTATTTTCAAAGTCAACAAAACACTTTGACCACTAAGTTATATTCTCACATATTCCAAAGTCATTACATTTGTGTAAATATTAAGAGTTTTTCAATAAAAAAAATACATTTAACTTTGTCATATATGAAAACTACATTGTTTGGATATAAAATTAACAGTTTTAGCTGCATGAATTCTAGCATGTTTTAGTGAATTGTGGTAGCATATAACGTTATGAAATTAATCTTAATAGGAAATCTAGTAATACAGTTTTCAATATTTTGTACATCAAATCTAGATCTAAACTGATAAGAAAATCAGATTCCAATACATGAAAATGCCTATACAGTACAAAGGGTGACTACTTCGAGCAAAGATTAGCCTATTGAAGAAGTCACGTTCTGAAACCAAAGCCCCAAAAACCTAACAACTGAAACTTCTGCGATTGTTTATGTTGTATAAGGTCCCTAACACCATCTAATATCGTAATGTATATGTAGACAGACACAAGTTGCATCAAAACCTCACCACACTCCTATTCTGTGTATGATATATGAAGTACCTGATTAAGAAATGAAGCTATCTGCAATCAAACATAGCATGTGAAATTCTAAATGTTCCCCAACAGCATAGTTTTAGAATTTACCTCAATAAAGGCAACTGGGTTTGGACAGCTTTGCTGTTTTGATAATTGCAGAGTACAGTTAGCAGCAGTACGACCATCCCTGGTGGCCACTGCCTTGAAGAACTGTTGTAAGTTATCACGGTCATCTCGGGTGAGTTCAGCAGTCATGCCCACATCAAGAAACACAATATGGGGCTTAGGTCTGAAAAACAGTTTCCTCTTAGGTTTTCTCTCATTTAGACGGACAAGAATGTTCCCAGGATGCATATCCGCATGAATAAAATTGTCCTCCTGGAGACAGATATTGATAGCAGAAACTTTAGTGACAGAAATTCTAATAGGAGCAATGTGCCATATGTTAGGGGAAAAAATCAGTATTAAACACTACTGAAGCTCTTATGAATGCAATCCTCAATACCAGCCTACCCAGTCAGATACAAACACCACTACCCAGGTGAAAAGGAGAACAGAAGGAAACACACATAATAAGTAAACATGCATACCAGAAGCATCTTCAAGAATGCATATGTGCCAATGTGGGCAAGATCTCTCTTCATCCGAGCATTTCCTTCAATCTCATCCATAAAACGAGAAACACTTTCTCCATTCTCAAACGTCTCAACAAGGACAGATGGATGAACTAGTGGATATAATGGCTTTGGGAAAGACACATGTCTCCATCTGCGGAAATTGTAGATAAAACGACTCAAATGAGCAGCTTCCCTTGAAAGGTCAACTTGAGACATCATGAAAACAGCAAATTGACGGACACTCTCATCCAGCCTCAGCCAGCTCAACCCAGGGACAACATTCGAAGCTTTCGCCAGAAGATTGATGAGTAAAAAGTCTTTCTTGATTGATTCACCCACACCAGGATGCCTCACCTTAACAGCAACATGCTTTTCAGTATGTTGATCTCTTAATGTAGCTCGATGTACTTGTGCAATACTTCCAGAAGCTACAGGTTCCTCCTCAAAAGTCTCAAATATTTCAGAAAGTTTACGACCAAACGCCTTCTCAATGGTAGCTTTGCTGTAAGCAAATCCATGTGCTGGAGCTGCACTATGAAGCTTGGCAAGCTCAACACAGAGATCACTTGGAAAAAGATCAGGTCGTGTTGCAGCCCACTGACCCCACTTGATAAATGCTGGCCCAGCTATTTCAAGGGTACGGCGCACAAGACGAAGCCATCTCCTTCTAAATCCAACACTGAAAGTATCAGCAAATGGAGACAATGCAGTTGCAGGGAAGAACAAGATTGCCAAATGCACAGCTCTAATAAGCAAAGTGACACCCTCCCAGATTGACCAAACTATGGATGACAGAAACTGGCGAGTATCCCGCGCATTTGTGACAATACCTTCCATTGTGGGCAGGTGTGGTGAATCTGCCAGGACAGGCCGTGACAATGCAAACTTGCCAAATGCTAGAGCCATGACCCCAGGGACAACATGGAACCTCGTGAAGGAAAAGCTTAGAGCACAGGCTGCTCGGCTGATCAATGGAAACCGGGGTCCGCTGTACATGTATGTATGACTGAGCCGCTTCCATGCCAATTGGGCGTGCTGTGTTGCCGATGAATTCGCGACTGTCCCAGAGAAGGTACGGAATCCCCTTGAAATCCTATTTCTGCACTTGTGATCCCCAGCTTTGTTCTTCCTGACAATTACCTTGTAATGTGAGAACATTCTAGAGAAGACAGTTGGAATCTTTCGCTTTGCCGACAATCCATTGTCCCTCGCTGCTGTGTAGTAGCCACTCCTGTGGCTCGGCTGGGAAAAATAGGCTGCCCGTCTATTTGTTCCGACTGCCAACAGCCTGCTTACAAAGGTAAAACAGAACATAAGAATTTGTGGGTTCTCAAGCTTTAATTGACACCTGTCAGAACCCTATGTTTAACAACAGTTAAAATTAAGAATTCAGCACAGCCAATGCAATACACGATGTATTCAGTAAGTAAGACACCAATTGCTTTATTTCCCTAATTCTCCCAACTACATGGCATTTAAACAAGCATATATACAGACAATTTCCCAATTGCGGCAATGCACAATGCATTCATTAAATCACAAATTGGTCACTCTGTTGGCTAAGGTTCACTAGCTCCCCTCAATGTACAATTCCATGAATATCCTCCAATCTCCAATTTAAGCTACATTTGATGCCCAAAATTCATCTTAGCAATCTCAACGTTCCAAACTGCCACAGCTACCAATTTCCGCGCTATACCCCTACAAATCGAGAAACTAAAACTAGCACCGAATTCGCCACGTGACATACTGCTTCCACAAGTAGGCAGAGTTAAGCCAAAAACCGACCCGCTCCTAACGAAATCTGGAACCCCCGATCCACCCAATCTGAAACAAGGACGGGAAGCCACGGGAGGGCCGAATCGAGACACGCACCTCTCGCCGATCCCCACCAGCCGTAGCATCGGGGAGAAGAAAAAAAAAACTTCACCGGGTGGTCGAGCCCCCGCCGCCGCCACGGACCATACCACGCGCCCCGCCGCCGCCGGAGACCACCTCCCGCGCCCGCCGCGACTACGACGAGCCCAGGAGAGAGAGAGGGGAGGGGGAGGCTCGGAGCCGGAACCCGCGCGATCCGCCACGCGCCGCCGCCCGCCGGGGTGCTCCTCGCTCGGGTAGGTCGGCGGCGAGGAGTCGTCTTCCTGAGTTTTCCCCCCTTTTTTTTCCTTTTTCTTTTGTTTTTCTTTTCGGATTTGCGCGAGTATTTTTGGTGCCCTCTTCTTGGGCTTTTTGTGTCGGGTCTCTTTCTTGGAGAGGAGGGTATCCAACGAGGGTTTATTCCCAGTTGCGCGGGGGGTGGGGGTCGGTGTCGGCTTCAGGCGCGCGACCAAAACGCGAACCGAGGGGTGTTTATACGGCGCTAAAAAAGTTTTAAGCCCATGTTACATAGGATGTTTGTACGCTAATTTAGAGTATTAAACATAGACTAATAAAAAATAATTTTATAAATGATAGCTAATCCGATAGACGAATTTTTTAAGCCTAATTAATCCATAATTATCAAAAGTTTACTGTAACATCACATTATCAAAATCATGGTATAATTAGACTCAAAAGATTCATCTCGCGAATTAGTCCAAGATTATGAAATGGGTTTTGTAATTAGTGTATTTTACTCCAAATTAGTGTCCAAACATCAGATGTGATCAAGTCCCTATAAACCAAACAGGCCCGCTCTTCTTGGGTCAGAAGAGAAGAGGAAGGGAAGGAGATTGCGCCGACTTCGAGCCGTGCCGTGCCAACCTGCTGCGAATGTGTTCGTTGGGGAGTCGTGGTGCGCCGAGGCAAAGTTGGAATTGTCATCCCGTACGTCAGCACACGTGCTGCACGTCACTTATGTAGTGGTTGGGGGGTTGACCTGGCCGTGTCGGCTAACGTTTTACCGGTGAAAAGATTTGTTGTTGGTGTAGTGGTACGGTTGGTTCTTCACCCAACCAAAATTGGGAAGTGCACACATTTACCGAATTCTGAAACTGTTTTTCACGACAGTTCGTTATATATTGAGTTAAACGTGTAAGATATGAAATTAAAGGGATAGTACAAACTTTGGTGAGAATGAGCTTTTGGGCTCTGGGTTGGAACATTGGGTGTGCTATTTGGTGAACCTATAGTGAACATAATAATATTTTTTTCCTCTCTAAAGTGCTCTGTGTGTGTTAAATACGGTAAGATATGACATATAAGCGACATGAGAAACATCGATACTCATATAGAATACTCTCCGTCCCACAAAGGAGGTCATTTTACTCCTTAGCAAATGTCTTAGAATGCTTGACGCTCTACTCTCCCGTACGCAGAAAAGTAGGGCTGTTAGCCTGTTACTCCTGTCAAATCTTTCTACTCCACACGATAATCCATGAAGTTTTGTCATCGCATCATTCAAATTAGACGCATGACACCAATCTGTATTACTGTTGTCAGAACAAGTCATTAATTAATTGTATGTTTCAAATATTCCATGTGTAGAAGATGTGGCAGTGATTGATTTGTGACAGTGTACTCATACTCTTCAAACCTTCACATGATTAGCTGCAATATCATAAATTAGGGCAATATGGTCATTTTGAATTAACTCTAATTTACCTCAACATCCCCAGAACGGCAAGCATTATGGGACATGATTAGCTGCAATATCATAATTGGGGCAGTATGGTCATTTTGAATTAACTCTAATTTACCTCAGCATCCCCAGAACGGCAAACATTATGAGACAGAGGGAGTACTTAAGGAATTTCTCTAGATAAGAATAGTATAGTATGTTGAGCAATTAGCGAATACGAAATCAACTTCGGCAAGACTTCAGAGACTCAATCCGAATCGACCATGACTATACCGAAGACTCGAATGAATATTTCTATGAGTTATTTCCATCTACGGAAGAACTTTTGACTTAAGGTGAATATTAGCATTTTTAAATTTAGCCTTCAAATAACCCAATCTGAAATTCGCTCCATGGAAAATAATAAACTTCGTGAGACCCACATAGACGCCACGTTAGCCAAAACCGTCCCCAAAACCACCGAGGGATCTTATCTGCACTGGTTTTGATAGTTGAGTTGAAGGATGAATATCAGATTCGTCTACAAGTTAAGAGACCTCAGATGAACTTATTCCAACAAAAAAAATTGTGAGCCCAATAGCGATTGCAGACCTTGCATGATGCTTTGGCCCATGGATGCACCTAACCTTGGAAAGAAAATACGGAGTATGTTCTCAATTAACTCACTCACTATTCAGTGGTCTCAAAAGAATAACAGCTCCCCCTGGAAAAGAAAAAAAGAGCCGCAATATTTTTAGCGTGGAGATTAATCTCAGGTCCCAATCAAACCCGAAACTTTTTTTTAAGAACCTGAAACAGACGAGGAAATGGGCAGAACGTACGGGACTGCCTTTTGATGTTCTATAATTCTAGCTATCTACAGCAAATACGTTACGATCATTACACAATCTCTCTCCGGATATATGGAAAATTAAATTGGCAATCCCTTTCTCTAGTTTGAATATGCCAATGAAAGGAGGATCAAATTCAGAAGGCGTACCGGAGAAAAATCCTGCTCGCACTATACGATTTTTCACAGCAGCATCCACTAGTGATATGCCTCCTTTTCTAAGATTCCCCACTAGCTAAGACAAGTCCTCATTGATCCACATGTTACTCATAGAACGACAGGGCAACACTGTCTGATGGCCCTCGTCTATGTCGATCTGGATAGTTTTTTTTTTTTTTTGGTTTTGTTTTTTCAAATGCTCGAAGACCGACCGATCGACCGAAAAAGGCGTTTTGTGTTTGCTAGTAGTAATAGGAGTAGCTTCTTTTCAGATCTTGCATGCACACATTACACGTGCCTCATCCTCTAATCACTATCGTCGTGATTGTCTTGTCGACTCATCGTGCACATGTGAAGCCATGCATGTACTCCATATATCAAGTGAACAATTTTAAGGGTAAGGGAAAAAAAGGAAAGTACGGAGAATATATTCGTTGATTTCTCGGTTTAAAACTTAGAAAGACCTTTTACATCATTACATTTCGATGAAGAAACGTCCACCCGTTTTTTGCATGTCATCTAAATGGTTACGAAAAAATTTCAAAAAAATTAACATGATAGGTTAATATGTAATATATCACTTCACAAAAATGCAAGTCCAAATTCGACTTCTACGAGTTGTAACAAAGGCAATAAATTTAACTGTGAATATACGTATACTAGTTAGAGTTTGATTTGTTATTTTCGTTACAACTTGTAGAAGTCGAATTTGAACTTGCATATTTATGAAGTAATATATTATATATTAACCTATCTTGTGAATTTTTTTGAAATTTTTTCATAATTATTTAAGTGACATGCAAGAAACGGGTGGACGTCCACCCGAGAGATTAGAATCCATCCTCCCCGTAGCTAGCATCCGCGTATAGTAACATCACGTTCGATCGGTCCGTATTGTCTCGCCCCGTGTGACCCTGTACATCCAGTCGTCGTCACTTCGTCAGGATGGCGAAAGTCGCCGGAGAGGAGATTAACGTCGTCGTCGTGGTATTCTCTCCATCCAATCGGCGTATCGCGGAGCTAGCTTCGCCGATCGAGATCGTGTGGACGACGAAGGAGCATTGGGTCCAAACGCAACAGCAGGCAGCAGCAGCGTACAACTCTATGACTATTTACACGTCTACATGCGCATTCGACGACCTCGGCGTGCGGTCAAAAATCGGATCTACTCCACTACTGGAGTACTACTAGCTGTACCGATCGGCCGGGACCAGACAAAAGAGAACTTTTCGCGCCCCACAATCTCGATCGGGCTTCGACCGGCCGGGGCGGCCGGCGCGCCGTTCCCACGTGGCCGTGCCGTGCGTGTACGTTGGTGATCGATCGACCGGGAGCTGCCGTTGTCATGGTCGGCCCGGGAGCTTGGAAACCCGGGGCGCAGATTGATCCCGACGTGTCACGGGCCAAAAAAAAAACCCCACAAAAGTCGCCGTGCGGCGGCAGCCTAGCAGGGGGAGCGGCAGCTTTGCACCCACGGGTTCGCCGTGCTGTACGTTTACGGGTATTTACTCCGCGCGCAGCGCATCGCAGTCGCAGCGCGCTAGGGTGGGGCGCGCGCGCGACATCGCGCACTCGTTCAGGGAGCGCGCGGCGCGCAGCATATGCAGGTCAAAGGAGGCGCGCGCGCTGCGACGCACGGGCAGATTGGCAGGCTCCCGTCCCGGCCTCACTGCGGAGAGAGCAGAGTGCGTCCTGCTCGAGTCAAACCTCGTCGTGCCATTTAAAGTGGCACAGATCTGACTATTTGGCAAGCTCATATATATGGTAAAGGTCACAACGTGCTTTCCCAACATAAAAGAGACTATGATATAATCTAGCGCTGCAGGACAAGGATGTGGAGAGATGGCGTGAGAGGATACATTGGAAAACATAAGTAGATCCTCTAACTTACAGTTCTCTAACTTTGAGAGACCGGTATATAAGCCCCAACAACTCGTGGATCCACACGTCATCCACCCACATTAGATGAGCCTCTTCCATCTAAAAAACACGTGCCACGTATTGTTAAGTTGTCCTAACTTTTATAGAAATAATCAACCTGGTGTCAATAAATCTAGCTAACTGTTAGATGCAAATAGTACCTCTAGCCTTTAGGTACTTGGTACAAGCTAATACTAAAAAATGTTGTTAATAAATCAATTTTGTTTATGTATCCACGGTTGAACATGTCAATTATGGTAATTAATTTGTAGTCATAAATGAAGAGACATGTATTTGTCCATTTTCTCAACCGCTGTAATTAGCGCGTAATTAATAGTGTAACTAGATATACTTCGAGTAGAACACTACTACTAGTCGTACGTCTAGTCCGCTATAGTACGTACTGTACGCAAGGACCACGTCCAGTCGTCCACAAAATGGGCTCGTACGTCGCAGCCAGCTAGGCGAAGCTATCCGTGTCGATCCCCGGGGGAGAAGTCAATGGCCGGGGCGGCGGTCGCGACAGCGACGGCCGTGCGCGCGCGCCGCCCGTGCGTCGAGGTGGCAGCCCACGCGTCCCCGCCGAGGCGCACCGGACGGCCGCGATGCGCGCGAGACACACACATGTACACCTCGAACCAGCAAAATCCGCTTGCTCGCGCAGCTCGCCGGCGCATCGATCGTTGCGCCTGAGAGACGCATGGGCGCCATGGCCGGACGTACCACCCCTGCAGGTACAGTACGA